AGTAGAAACTAACTTGTTCGACTAACTGTTCGACGGTCTAATAAGATCCACAGATAGAAGAGCCTCCTTCAGTCATAAAAAAAGTGTCTTCGAATACGAAGTTCGGCCATTAGCTAAACCGACGATCGCAAAAAGTATCTGCGAAAATGTCCACCAACCACATCATCGTACTGAAAATGCTCGATGCACGATGTACAGGCGAACTCAATGACGTTATAAAATTCACGGTTGGAACTTGATATCGAAATAGCATCTCCAGGGTCGGGACTACTACGACAGAGGTGTTGGAAACTCCCCGGATTGGTTGGGTTATGAATAATTGTTGTAGTCTTCAGATGGGGCGGAGATTTTCCCTTTCAGAATGGACAGCTGTCAGCATCGGACTTTTTGTTTTGCCGAGCGAAAGTCGTATACCGCTAGAATCCTGTGGATCGTTCTCAAAATAGGTACAATAGCCACGCGCTTGACGAGACCTCTGTTCGTGCTATAAGAGCTTATAATTGCACCAGGAAGCTTAATAATAGAAGCAAGTTGTCATATTTATGTAGGGCTAAATTGACTACTTTTAACTGAATTAATCATAGCCAACGTAACGGAGTGAAGCCTTTCGACTGTACCTTGTAACTTGCTGTACAGGAATTGACGCAGATATAAATATACAGAATTATAATGGTAAAAGACAATAAGTGTCTCCCTTTTTATATACTACTCCACTTCACGTCATCATTGTCATAGCATAAATTCGAGCTATATCGCTTTCTCTGATTTCTCTTTAATATACATCTTTTATTTTAGATGCATAAACTACTCCTCTTAATTTGAATTGTTAATTTTTTTACATTGAGCTCAAACCTCCCAGTACGACTACCCCCCCCTCCCCGCTCCCCCCTCCCCCCACACACACTGAAACCTTACAAATGACTCGAATTTGGTGGAGGCTGATCACGCTACCAAAACGTAACTGCAATATAAGTTAATATCATTTCGTTCAATATCTGTTTTTTAACAAACAACATTCCGAGCTTCTGTATGATTGTTCCAGTGGTATCCATTTCTACAGGCTTTAATTTGATGAAAGTTATTCATCTGGATACAACAGACCTCCTTAGTAACTCAGTAGTAGGGTAGCCCACACCTTGGCGGAACTATTCGATCATAAGCAAGTTGTGTGACATCCACCGTAGGCATAACCGTTCCTACCAAAGGAATGGTAAAAGAAATTCACCTCAACGGGTCGTTGTTAGGCGAAGGGTCAGTACTTAAGGATTAATTAATTAACTTCAGCAGTGGGCCGGCACAAAAAACTAAAGGGTTTTTACCAAGTTTAGCCACAAATTGGCAAGAACAACAATGTATGCAGTCCTTAGTCCAAACTTACTCTATAGCATTACGGCATGAAGGGCAAGCGAATATTTTACTTTGTTTTGAAAGTCTGCATACCTTTTGAAACGAAATCGTAAGTTACTTTTTGAAAATATGCGCCAAGAGTTGCTATATAAATCAATTATTGAATTTCAACTCATACATGAATGTACAGTGCGGACTATGCCGCATGAGCAAGAACGACTCGGACGAATGGTAAACAAGATAAGGAATGAACCCCATTGTTTTTGTTCAGTTATTGTTATTATTATTAATTATATTTATCATTCCTTTAATTCTTTTTCACCTGACGATTTACACATAATATAGAAGTACGGAGGTTGCCACCATGCGAAGCCTCTAATTATCCCAATCTCCGATAATGTCTGAACGCCAAATGGACACAACATTGACTGCGACTCTTCTTGAAATAATCATACGTTTTCTAATTAAGTAGATCCTAATTGTTCTAAAAGCTTAAGCTATATTCCACTGCTAAGGTAATTTAATATACATTTATCTCGAACAGGCACATCAAAGCTGGCTCAGCCATTTTTAAATTTTTGCAGCTAGAAACCCAAGTACGAGCCCGTATTCAACTTTGCCGTATAATTAGTTGTATACAACATCTTGCCCCAGATAACATGCCTCTATCATAGATCACCAACGCGGGATGGTACGAATTGTTGTCTTTATAATATTTTAAAAATGTTCGAAATTCATTGCTTTGCCGAATGTGTGGAACTTCCGGATGGTAGATAGCCTCTATCTTTCGTTGTACGCTCCAAACAATGTTTTTTGCAGGTCTCCATTGATCTTGAGCTGACCTGTATTACAAGCCACCGTGAAATAAATCCTATGTCTGTGAGTTCTGAAAACATTAATGCTCACAACTTCATAGTAAAAAAACAACCTTTCTAGGAGTAATTATGAGCTCTACACATTTGTTTACTAAGTGCAATGCGTGGCATTTAACTGATAGGTTACCATCACGTATTCCAGAACGTGAAACGCAAGTGGTATAATAGCGCCGGCACAACGTTCTGATACATCACAGGCTAGCAGTTTGCAATGTTAACGGACGAACATTTGGTTTGCCGTTCTTAATTGGCACACATGGGCAACCGTACCTATGACACACTAGTAGACACTAATTTAGCATACGTTGTCCTATTTACGTATGGTTGGTAATTATCGAATATACTCCAACATCGCTGTGGGCTTTTTAAAACCGACAGTACCCCAGCGCCATACACCCCTTCGGTACCGAATCGGAGATACACTTGCTCGCCGCAGCTAATCGTATAAACGAATTAAATACACGGTCATTGTTACAACACCTAGGAACTGCTTCTGAGACCCACAACGAGGTATCATTGTATGCCTGAAAGAAACTTGCATTGCTACTTGTAAACGATTTGCTTTTGAGCGTTCAGTTGCAAGTAACCGTGTAAGATTATAATGGATATTAAAATAAAACTTAAGTAATAAGACAAAATCTCGTCTCAACGTGTTCAACGAAATATAGTCTAATGTACATTGAATCCAGTCAACAGAACCGGCTGCGTAAGCGTGCCTGGCTGTTGTCTATTGACAACTGCACGGCTTCGTAAATGGGTCGATTTCTCTTCAGAAGCCCATCACTAGCCACTTTGATTCCATCGCTATTTGGAAAGCTTACAAATGCTTCGTACTCTTTAATCACAACCGAAGGAGCGATGCAGACGTCTTTTACCGTCGATGAACCTAGACTTTTTATGGTTATCGCGACGGGTGAGGCGTTTACGAATATTTTCGTCCACTTTCTTCTCAGTTATCTGAAGCAAGACTAGTTTGTATTGAGACGAAGCTAAGGGTGTGTCCTTCCTCATCGTCGCAGACGAAGACCTAAGAACGTATCCAATGAGCTCTACGGCTAGAACACCGTCTGCTGTATTTCTGTCGGCTCACTCATGAATCTATTTCAAGCGCGTTTCTCAATACCAATTGAAAGTACCATTAGAAGTCGCTTGACGGTTTCATAGAGCTGACTGTCTAAGACGCAACACAATCGATCAGCATAGTCCCGATAAGACGTACGACACTTGAGATAGGACACTTCAAATAAATTATTGCCTTAGCAAATACATACAATGTACATTTCACTGTCAATCCAAAATACACATCCGAGGAAAACCACTATCTGGAAAATAAGCAATATCTTTTTTAAGCTCCTACAACTTTTGTAAGGAGTACTGTTCTGCTGATAATAAAGTGCCGCGGTAACCGGGGTCGTCTAGAAGTTTATAGACAAAGCACTCAGTGTAGTAGGCCACTATAAGGCGCTGCTCGTTGTCGTTTGTCCTATTGACCAGCTTCTTTGAACGCGACTCTCGTCAAAGCAGGTTTAAGCTAATAAGACCTGCGCAACGTATTCGAAACGAAAGATAAAATCAGCGACAACGATAAAGTAATGGAAAATTTCTATTCATACTCATGAATGGGTTCAATGCTTCAATCTCAAAGTACACTCTGACAAAAATTTATCGAATAGACATCGTATAGACAAATTTTTTATGAGCCCTATTCTAGTTACGTATTCAAAAATCCTCTTCGCTAACTACATCTCAGTAATGTTCTAGGTAGTTCGATTACTAGATATTTAGCTTCACATTGAACTTAAAACAAACGTTCCAATATAAACTATGTATTGTGAAAATAAGCTGACGCTTATTTTCGACAGCTTGTAGGGGAAGGTCCGCGTGCCTTGCTCAGATGATTTTACCTCGTAAAGGATGCAATGATCACGAGCTATTTGACAATATGTGATTCGCCGAATTGTAGAAGAGCGTAGCGAGATTAAGATGTAACGGGCTAATTTTTACCATTGCTTCAACGGATCCGAATATAAACTTGATCTAGATTTTTTATAAACCTAAATCGTGAATTACGGATTTACCACTATGCTACAAATACAGCGTTTCATATTGGGGAACGCTTCTTTGTTCTCTAACATTTACAGAAATTGAATTCTTTCAGGCTACAAGGAAAGACAGTGGTCCAAGTAGCCGTCTAATCCCTGTCCTGTAAATTTCCTGAATCTATCGCACTACCTGTATATCCTGCCAAGTCTCAAGTTATAAGAGCTTTAAACAACGGCTGATTTAACTTTGTTGCAAATTATGAGAACTCGATGAAATTATAATGTTCGTAAACTGTTAAAAAATAACCGGTGACCAAGTTTTCCTACCACACTTGTTGACAGGATTGTCTATACTCGCTCAAAGCCGCTCTCGTTCTCTAAAAATTTTGCGAAAGGCTGCGAAAGCTCTAAGAAAATTGCGAAGAAAAAGAACCGTTTTCTTCATTTCTACCATCATCAAAATCAGCTTATTACTTTTGCTCGCCAGTTCTGTATTATGTTTTGTATTCTAGGGGGCTGCCCAGAAGTTACGATAACACTGCCACCACGGTTGCTAACAATAATAATGACTTGCTTGACTATGTCACATTGGAAGCACAGCTTGCTTTTCGTTAGCTGAAAAGCCAAAATTTCAGCTACCGGCAACATAATACAAGAACATAATACAAAAATAAAACTGTAACAGCATGACAGGACGCTGCCATGCCAGGACAAAATAATCCTCACGTACGTTTTTGCAGTCGATACCGCTTTCTTGTTGCGTCTTCATTTATTGTTGTTATCGCTGATGCTGTTGTAAAGCACCTGGGCATTTGCGCGGCCTGTCGTCACGTCAGCGGCGTCGAAAGTTGCCAAAATAGTCGGCTTGAACGAGAGGTTTTTGACGGTGGATGTACCTTCATGACTATCTTTACAACGGCACTCTTCCGTAATGCGGAGCTAGACGCTGATAAAACAATCAAAGTAAACGAAACGAAAAAGTGTGTTCTACACACTGGTAGTAGTAGTAGTAGTTCAGGTAGTGGGGACTAAATATAGAGAACTATGTATTGCAAGGCGATAATGGGAAAATGCCCGTGATGAACTGCTAATTCAATGAATCAGTGGCTCTCAAGCTATTGCTGATGCTATTGTTATATCCATTCGATTCTTGTATTTATAGTATCCTATTATAAGGTCTAGGCCGGATAGCATCTTTGCGAATAGTTCTTTTTGCGGCGCCTTAGCTAAACGGGGGTTTCTTATTTGGAGAATTTTTACCTGTGTCATAGTTGTAGGTGTATTTCATCTCTGATTAAGAAACTCGCAAAAGTTCCGCCAACCCGATGAACAGGATTTTGCAGATTTTGTAGTTTAGGGTATCTATCTCCATATCTGACGTCAAACTCAAGAAAATCTGTTCCAAAGCCCTTTTTAGAAGAACAAGGGAACAGTGAAGTAAATATTTGTAATTATTTGTTCTAAAGTTCATTCGCAATATTGACCGAAAACCTTTTTGTCTTATAGTTCTTATAACTCTCTACATTTATCCTAATCCTATAACTCAATACAGCGTATCGATTTATAAAAATGCATAATAGTGCGCCCTTTATTTGCAATTCAACTTACTGTCACTTTGTTTCGTTGTTCGGTTTCTATTCTGATCTAAATTTTCTGTTTTAAATCCAGCGATTTTCGTACGTGAAGATTTCGAGGTTAATCAACCGAAGTAGATAACCATTTTTGCAAGACGCAAAATCAATTTTAAGCTTTTGCTTTGTCATATTGATACGTTAGCGAGATTTTTGCAGAAACTTTACTTGCTAGAAGCATGAGCCATAATACCCCAACTGATCCTGTTTAGTATGTAAATCCTGTCGAGACAAGGCGCACAGAGACCCACGTACAACGAATTCGTCGCATCTATTATCACTAAATATGTGACTAAATAAAAATAGTTTACTGCGAGCCGCCAGGAAAACTGTTCAAAAAGGAACTCTACAATAAATACGCGCCTAGTGGGCGTATCATTGATTTTTTTTTGCCTTCCATCTGTCTCTAACGTCATCTACCGTTTTGAACATCTTTTTCACCCAGCAGTAAACATGCATTTCCTTTTCTCGACAACTAAATATTTTCGAGGGGTAAAACGATTTCAAATAAAGCGGGTCAAGTTGTGTGACACTTCAAGCCGAATACGAGAGCCAAACATTTGGAGATATGTTCGGTTTAAAGCCAGCTAAGGAACATCGTACCATTGTACCGTTGTATAGGCTCCTGCAACAAGCGTTGTTAAGAAAAAACCGTTATCTTACAAATTTTATTCGCTTTTACCCCTTTTAAATACTTCTAATGTATCATATGATTCGTGTTGAAAGACACTGGATGTTAATCAATTTTCTAGACTTACATCACGCTATTGTCCACGAATTTCAATAGTTAAAAAACTTTATCATATTAATTGATTTCACGATCTAACGTGTCTGTGGCTTTATTAGACAGTATTTAGATCGCAGTCATTACAAAATGAAAAACGTACCTGTTTGCAGTATAGTACAGGTGAAGATCACCTAAAGAATACGATCAGAACTTGGAATATACTGAGTCAAATATTTCTGTATAGCGGAACGCCTTTGTAGATGACAGTCATTGACAAATAAGTGATCTTCCCCCTGTTGTTCAAGATATATATATATATATATATATATATATATATATATATATATATGTATAATTGCATGGTATAAGTCATCATGTGATAATGTATCCAAAGCTCCTTTTCCGTCCTATAATCAATTAACATAATGAACTAGAATTATGACTCCATGCGGTGAGTTCTGTATATGTGCCTATTTAGGGCGGATGTCATAGCTGGGGGCGACAATGTGGAGCCATGTTGCGCGAATGTTATACAATAATTATATCCATGCAATTCATGCCACGTGCCATGGCAATCATAAATGAGGTGTCAAAAGCCTATAGCAACGCAATACATATTTCTAAGTACGGCGCAGGCCATTATACGCTAGGTATTTTTTTGCCGGTTTATATATAGACTTACATATATGACATTCCTGTAACTTTGATTAATTCTAATGTTCGATTTGTTGGGCTGATATTCTGAAAGAGAAAGATGGAGATTCGCCGTTTGATAAGAGGTCAAAGCGAAAAAAAGTGATGCAATACTTTTAAAAAAGGTCTATTTCATTTGTTTAAAATGATGTAAATATTTCATACGGTTCCATAACTATTTTTTTCGGTGCACAATGAACGTTTACATATCGAGGTATCACGCCAGATACAAGAATGTATCATATTGTTGGAAAAGCTGCAGTCAAGCGTTCGAATTATTAATGCGAAGCCATTGTTTGTATTTAGAACGCTGAGAAATTATGGAATAAAGTAATCCATTAGTAAAGTTGGAGAACTCAAAAAAAAATTCTTGTATTTCGTGGAAGTGTCCAATGCATAAAAACAGAAATCCGAATTGACTAGAATACACAGGCAGAGAGGCACAATATATAATCTAAGAGACTATATATAGATGAACGTCCTATTATTGCGTTTCCTCGGCACACACCATGTTTTCCCAAAAAAATGTTCTTTGTTTGTGCAACTAAAGCAAAGTTATAAAGGATTTTTATTATCTTCATGCCCTATTATTAATTCGTCTTACCTTATATCTTCAAGCAATTGTAGAAAAAGGTGTGACCTAAACATTAATGGCAAAACACAACACGTCCTGCTATCGATAGTCTACATCAAAAAACTGAACCCAACGATTCAGTTTATATTTAACATGATTAAGCAATCCGTACAGCGTACCAAGTACTTTACTTTAATTGCTCGTAATTCATTTTGCCCCAATCTGTTAAATAGTTCTACTACGGGTAACTGGAGCGTCAAGTAAAACGGCAAAGCTTAAAGGCAATCCAAGCTTACCTAGGAATAACATAAATTTCGCTCATAAGAAACGTTCCTAGCAAACATTCATAAGTGCTTGAAAATTAACAAAATGTAATTCTTATAGCAGATGCCATTTCCTTAAATTTTTTTGAAACGTCCTAAGAAATAACGGGTTACCGTGGTGGGTCTGTCGTCTTACGTTTTTCCACATATTCTGGGTCTGCAGTTTATATACGCGCAAATTGTCTATCAGAATATATTACATCAGAGGCTTCTAGACCGACTGAATTACTTACAATATTCACTTTTGGTTCTTGACTGATAGCTCCAGCGTTTAATAGATTGCTTTTGGATTGCCAGAACGTTGCTTGCGCGCAAAAGTAGACATGACAGACTTTTGAGATAAAATTGATTAAAACGAACAGGGTTTTCAACAGAGATTCAGATTTTCAACAGGAAAATCATATCACGAACGAGCCATCGTAGTAATTATTAAGCAAAAGACATCAATGTGCGTAACATAAACTGACCAAAGCTTTTGACGAACCAATTGATTTTATAAAGATACCTTTTTATCCAAACCGACCCAATCATTATCATGCCAGGTCTTTCTTGGTAAGTCAGATTAAGTAAAAGTTTTTCCTCAACTAATCACGTTCTGAGAGTATCTGCACACGAATCAGTTAGATGCGTATCTTCATAGAAAATAACTAAAATGCGCATTCTAGTGTTTTTCTTACACACAATTCACTGATTGCGTCCTAACCGAATATTGTTTATAAAAGCACCTTGGTTTGTCCACGCTGGCCCTCATAATTTTTAACGCATAGATATGGTAAGGATCCTACAATCTTACATAATGATCCTGGCTTGCCTTTATGTGGATACAAGGAATCCATAATTAATTTCTAGGTTATTTGAAGAATTTTTACAAAAAATACATTTTTGCGTGCTAATTTTTCGCAAAATGTATTGAATGAGCTTTTAAAACAAAATATTAATTTGTCGACAAGCCAGTCAGTAACGAATGCTTATCTTTGACATTTTCTTTATGTTTTATTTCAGTAGAAGTTAACGGACCCAAACAAGCTGAAACCAATGAGTCATTTTCCGAACGCCAGTGCATGGAGGGTTGTATCCTTTTGCGGTCCTTTGGTTGGTCTCAGAAAATAGCTCAGTGCCTATGTTTGTATCAAACTCACAAGTATTATCACAAAGGCTATCCACTATAAACATTTAATTTAATAATAAATAGTAAAGAACAACAAAATTATATCATAATAGTATCGAAGTCGAACCAAAATGTAAAGGCATGATGACCCTGTAGGATGAGGCTAAATTATGGCAATAGAAATTCTTCGTAACTACACGTGCGATATGAGTCCGCCAATGGGCTAAAAATGTATTGAATGCCGAACATATTTAACTGTTAGGGGTAACGGTACGCAGCAAACATCATTAGTCCATATTAGTCACGATAAATTGATAATACTGATTCTCCTATAAATTTAAAAATAAAAAAAGTACAACAAAATATAACATTGTTATTTAATTCGAATCAAACTCAAACCATTTACAAACTCAATTAAGCCTACAATACTAGGAATCATCCTAATTCATGGCATAAATATAGGTTTTGTACGCATTATCGAAGTTCTGATGAGCTGGCGTCTTGTCACGGAAACAGAGTCGAAACAGCTTTTATCGACGATTCAAATATGACTTAAACCCACCCTTCCTCGTTCATGATCTTTACGTAGATAATCAGATTCTGTAAATAAGGGACTGCAACACGTTGTCAATAGCGTGTGTTTGGTCCACTATTGCACAAGCCTTGTGCCATAGTGTAGGTACGTACACCGATCTCCCTCCCTCGTCACTGCTCCTTTTACGGGCGACAAACTGTTTTGCCCTTAGTTTTTTTCTCTTTCCCTCTTTTTCTTTCTAGAAGCCCTACCGTCCCCGTTTACCGCTGTTGTATGCCTCTCCACGGAAAGCTTACCTCCTTCTCCGGGATCCGCTCATCTGCTTACGTAGCCCGGAAATGTCCATAGCTTTCACAGTCCTCGCCAACCCAGCCATCCCGTGTTGCTCCTTTCCTTTCTTTCATATCTCTCCGCTTTGGTAACTTCTTCGACGTGAGTGCTTTGCGGTTCATAAGCAGCGATTTAACAACAGAACTGAATTGAGCAGACGTCAACTGCACCCATTAACAACAACAACAGCAAAGCAGAAGCATCAGCAGAATCGTCGTTATTAAAGCCTGCTTGTCTTTGGCGTCATTATGACGTTCACTGTGCCAAAACAATGCGAGGGGCAGTTAGCGGCGGCGGTAGCGATCCAGCTAAACGCCAAATGGCCAAAGGTACATTGGTGAGGCTGAAATGACGACGCTGTGTGAGGGGAGAAGGGGGCGCTGTGAAGTAAATGCAAATCGTCTAAGGAGGTATAGGCCGAGGGCATCAGAGCCGCTGATTAGGGCAAAAGGCTGGCTGCCTGACAAACTGACTTACAATTTTACGACGTCGTAGCCAACAGTTTATACCGCGCCCAATGAACTGATGTGCTGTGAAGTGATTCAGATGTCAGCGACGACCGGTCTCAATGGCCGTTGGAATTCTCTAGTACTCGTGGCGCTATCGTTGTGCTGGTAGGCCAGCGTAACGTTTGTTGTAGCTAACGAAAGAATAGAGACCAAATACAATCCCATGAAACAAGGCCGTACGGGACAGAATTGACCAAACGGCTTTCCTTGCTGCTAGCAGCCCTCGTCTATAGAGCACTTGCTAGCAACTGACGCTCAACAGGAATGGTTCGAGAAAGGTAAAGGCTATAACAACGATGTCAGGGAGTATCGAAAGTGAGCAGTACGACGAGCGTCATATAATTACATACCTTTCGACCCATTGACGCGTTATCAGAAAATATGAACCTGATAGTAGGCGCAAAGGAACGAACAAGCAAACAAACAATTTTCCTGCTTTCAATCCTTATTTGTATGCACATATATATATATTGCAATTTCTATGTTTCGTATTTTACGCCGAATTTACAGGCATTCCATCAAACGGCTGGCTCCCAGCACGAAACGAAATGTGTCTATGATTGATTCGAACCTAGACCACAACTAAAATGCTTATATCTATTATATCAGATTTAAGTTTCAATTAAACCTTACTCAATTTATATAATGTGTCTTTGCATCTACATGTAATGGTTGCGTATCACTGCACGTCGTCCCAGTTGCACTACAGCACATTCTATTAAATTTCTGCTACAATCGAATAGCGACGATCGGCGCCGGCTTGTATGCTGTTCTTCTTAACCGAATCTTTGTCTACGAAAAATCACTCGCCAGCAGTCGTATGGCGGCATTGGAGCCAGAGGGGGTTAAGCCGCTCTGCTCTACTACATCTGACATATCGACCATGCCGTTATTGTAGGGGCAAATGTTCTACGATGTTTATATTTTCTAGCATACTAGATCTACTGTGCGATTAAATTACGCGCGCCACAAAATTGACGTTCGATAATAAGGCGACTGTGGCGCCAGTATTGGCGGCACTTACGCGATTCTGCTGCTGGCGACGACGATAGCGACGATGGTAAATTAGAGAAGAGAGTGATGGTAGGTAGAGAGAAATAAATGGAAATATAAGAAACGGATATTTGGAAGGCAGCGGGTAGATGGATCCGACCAGAGAAAGAAAGCTGAGAGAACAGCCTGCGTGATGCTGTTACATCGCCATACAGAAATCCGCACAAACAAATGCATGTGCACCTTTGTGAGTCAACAACACTGATATCGTCATGACATAGCCATGACGACGCTGTTACTTCTGTGGCTATCGCTGCTGCTGGCGTTATTGCATTCGCGTGTGGCTGGCATCGACATTCGGCCATCATCAGCGCTCACCGCCACCATCATTATCAACATCAAGCACTGCTGCGATGCTGATGGTGGCAACGACGACGACCCCCCGGAGCAGTCAGTAGACGTAATCATTTATATGTGGCTCTATCGCCGTGGAAACGGTCGTCACGGCGATAGCGTCGAGCGTCTCATTCCTCGCCCTCATCCCCATCGGGACGAGTATGCACGCGTACAAATACATACTAATAACATTATCTATACATAGAAAACGTACACGGATATGATTTGAAGGGCTTGCTGCGATGCGGTTTGCAACGGTGCCGACAGCGACTTTTCGATATTACATCCGAATAATAGCGGATTGCAGCAGCCCTGCTGCCGCTGCTATGTCGTCTGCAACGGCAATCTTCACGCTGCTGCGAACAACCGAGGAACCGATTACGTGACCTGTGGAAGTCGGCTAATGTAGTGGGCATCTCAACAGGAGCAATTACTGATAGTTGGTATGTGCATGCATATCTACATGAGCAAGTGGGGCTGGTGATGTTAATGTTCTGAAGATCGTGTGGTTGGGGGGGGAGGAGGACAAAGTAATATTGCACTGAACCCCAACATGAGACCACAACGGTATGGGATTCGTATCTATACGTCTATTTATTCAGTTCAGATCGCATCGGCTCTTCTAGTAAGTAAATCCCGTTGTGGAGATCGTCTGTCAAAGATGTCTTCTGCTGCGAACATTCATTAATCTTGCATTTCAGAACACTCACTTCCTTGCATGCAACGCCGAATCAAAGGGATGCAACGAATAGATACCGAAATGGATCTTCTGAGTTGGAGCGACGCTGTGCTGAAGCTAAAATACAACACAAACAATCACATAAATATTTGTTATATAACTGCTTGCTTTTAGCTTAAGATCAGCTAGAAATTTCATAAGAAGCCCATTGGAGACATCTATTATGCAGCTATCACGCACCTGGATAAATTACACTGGACAGGTCTGTCTATTGAATCTAAGGGCACGTAAGGTGGCTTACAGTCGAATAAGGACACAGACATATTTTCTTCCGTGCTGCGAATTGTATGGTGAAGGCGTACTCCATCTTTGTCAACATTTATTGAATTAATCTAATTATTTCAACAATCTCAATTTTTTAAAGGCATCATACATTTTTTGCGCTTCCGCAAAATTATTGGTAAACCATTACTCTGCAATGCACTTTGCACCCCGTCATTATACAGCTGCATATTCGGATAATTTTTTGGAATAGTTCTGCGTAATATTTCTGTGATTGTAAATTATGCCAACAACCATCTCAGATTACATATCGTTACTGGGTATAAAAGAAGTCTGACTTCAATTTACTAGTATAAAATGGCGTGTAACACCGCCAACCGCAGCTTCAAGCGTAGACACTTCACAGTCCTTTATAGTACTACCTGTTTTTTTATAGTTGCCCGTATTTACGTTATGCTCGCCTACGAAAGCAGGTCACTTAACGGCGTTACTTCTGTTAGCGCGCACAACCTTGGCTTGCTGCCCCAGGGAGCACAAATGGGCCACAGTTTGTATGGAGAATTGCAATATGAAGTCACTGTTAACAACAAGGCATTTATCGTAGGAGGAACATTGCGGGCGTAATTCATTACCCTACCAGCGGAGTAAGTTTAAGTGGACCCAGATTCTTGTCTTGTTTGATTTTTTTTCTGTTTGATCTCTTCTTCTTATTTTCTGTTTGGTTTTGCAGTCCAACCAAATGTTTTCGATAGTGCTTGAATGTGGATATGGTTGCTTTGAGCGCAATGCTAGATATTTCTTAAGAACATACGAAGAAACAAGCCGCAGGAGCTCTGTATTATCACAGGCGTAACTAATTTAGATATTTTTAGTTAATATGTTCAGTTATTATCCTAATAGGAACAAATCCTCACAATCGCTTGTTTTAAGGTGTAATATCACAAACCTACCGATAACGGTCTAACTAAGAGTGAATCTGGCCGAACTTAGAGAAGTTTTTTTTTTTTTTTGTATGAAACAGCGGAGCAACCATACAAATAGCTATTGATATTAATATTGGTGCTTTATTTTCCTTCATTTCTTACTTTCCTGATGATTAATACTTGGTAATCATTGTTGTCAACGTTGAGATTTGAACCAGTGTGGCATAATTCATTTGACGCACGCTGCATGATGAGCTGGCATCTCATCTAATCAGGTTTACATTTATTTACATAAAAAACAAGCAAGTGGTATAGTCGACTGTGTATCGTTGTAGATTCAGCCCAACCCCCGACCAGTAATAGCCACAAACAGCGACAAGACAATTGTTGACCTTTAATCAGAGGGAAACGCTAAGTTGCGTTTGCCTAAAAAGATCCAATCCTTTCAAGGCTATATAACTGTTGATTACTACTGTAGGATTACTGTTTAAAACGAATAAGTAGTGCTTAAGTGAGGCGAACAAATAGGCAAAAGCTCACATAGGCACACATAGTAACATGGATGAAAGCACAATTACCTCGTGTTCTAACAGACATTAGGCGTAGAATTGTTGTATTGTAATATGAAAAGTAAATAATAAAATGGTAGACATATATGAATTCACCAAGATTGGTCATAATTAAGTACCAAGAAAACTAGGTAAATGTAATCAGCGTAGCTGATTCGGACCACGTGTATAAAGTCTCTGGCTTCCGTATTATTATTATTATTATTATATCAGTAAAGCGTAACAATTACGAAACCCAATCGAAAATAAAGGCAGGTCTCATTATGCGCAATACGCCTAACTATATACCTTTAGGGCATGTCAGATAAAACGGCTTTCTACACATGCTCCCAGTTTATGAAAAATGCGTCCTCCATGTAGAATACCTATTTATATCTATGAGACCATGCAAAACAGAGTCGCCCGTACAAAAGCTGTTACAACATCTGTGCACTTAATATTAGGTATAAGTAGGCAACTACTCACTAAATGGGTACTTACCATTAGTTGAGATAACAGATGATCTTATTTTTTTTCGACGTATGAACATACAAAATCCACCCCGTTTGCCCCGTGGTACACTAGACGGCCATTGGATACAAATGCAATTTGCCTGACTTAGGTGTTTCAATTAAAAAAAAAAGTCAGTAATGGACTGTCGTATATGAAACAATTCATACCATTGGCAGTTCCATAGTTTGGCCCGCATCGACCTCGCAAATCTACGGTATGCATTTTGAGAGCATCCTAGTGCGCCATTCATCGCATCCAGACCCCGTTAAAGACCAATCATACAAACTATACAATGTCGTCACTTCGTTTCTTTACGATTGGCAGTTATCGTCGCTGAGCTCTGCGACGATAGTGCGGAGTTCAACGAAGATGATGTTATTGGTAGTCTTCGTTGTACACGTTTGGGAAATCGCTATCGTTGCCAGAAGCAAAAGGGCGAAAGAGACCCGAATGGAAGTGTGCAAACAAAGGACAAGGAACAGCCGCCGCAGCAGCGATAAGAAGCGAAAAAAAAAAACGACTCAGACGTACAGGGCAATGAAAGCCGACGACAGAAGAGTGTATTTTTTCGCATGATGCAGCAGCAGAAGAAGCATCCCCGCCGTTGTCGACAAAAAAGCAACAACAGCGGTCTCTTTCAGTGACTGAAGTCGTTATGGCAGCCTCCCTACCACGCAGTTGTTCGCTGCTGTGTCTAATTCGCCCGCTCGTTTTTGACGCCTTTCGATGCAAATGATGGAAAGCAAGCGAGCCGGCCAGCGCCTGTTTCACAACTGCTGCGTCGCTTTTTGCACCAGGCCTTGGCAGTCACCAGTAAAGAGTAGTCAACAAGCGCGAACAAGCCATTGCTGAATCAACTGACCAGTGCCGAAATGGCGAACAAACAGATATCGTTATCATAGCCCTCGCGGCCTTTCCTGCCTGCCTGCCTGTCTGCCTGCCTGCTTATACCTTCCACTCTGAGGCGGAAGCTGCGCGACTTCTATTCTTCCTATTAGCGTTGCAACAGAGAGATTAACAGAAGGACGCAATAGAGAATGAACGAGTCTTCGGACCGACCCGCGACAAAAGGTCGTCTGTCAGCCTTCGCCGTCTTCTTCAAGGCCTAAGAGCGAAAAGCAGATACAAGTGAGGTTTTTGTGTACGACTGACTCGCTGAGATTTAGTGGTTCACTGGACCGCTGAACTGTCTTAGAGGCGAGAGACCCAGCGCCTTCTAATACCAGTGGAGTTTCTTTCCGTTCGGTTGTTCCTGGTGTAACTCTGTACATGCGTAGCTATTACAGCGGACCACCTCTAATAGTGGGCGAGGTGGCAAGCGACGCCACGTCACTGGCCTCACCTATCTGTTCATCAAGCAATCTGTCTTGGGCCTTTCTTTGCCGCCGGTAACTCAGCAGCGTCGGCGGCACAAGCGACGTGTTGTGCTCGCTCTGCCAGTCATTGTCAATTACTTCGTTAGGTGTTCTCGTGTCTTCGGGTGATAGGTGATGCTAGTGCTGGTCGTGCAGTGGCGCTGGTATCGCTTGATTGCCTTCGACTTCTCATCAGCGGTAGCCCCTCTGTGCGCAGCTTTTCGTTAACGGACAGCAATAGCCATAAGGCAGCCTCGGCTGCCATTATCCCACTGTTTATCCCGTTTCGCTTCTGCAGGATGCTGTGACTGATGCTGGTACTGCTGTCGCAGCAAAAACGATGCGATGGAGAGATGCTGTCGTAATGGTGCAGACAGCAACGCCGGCAATGGCTACCAGACAGGGCCACCGTCAACTATTATCAGAACGGATAGCGATACGACGTTGAGCGTTTGGGCATTTTGTTTGGCTGTTCCATCTATTCGTTGGTCGGTCGATCGGTCGTTCGGCCGTTTGTTACTTGTTTGTTTTTGTTCGCTCGCCTGTGCTACGTTTGTCCCTCATTCCCTCGCGGCTCCTGCCCCCGCCTGCTCCGCTCGGTTGGCCTTCGAGCCCTTGCCCGGTGCGCGCCCTCCCAGCTGAGTGAGTCGCTGGTCGGTGCGGGGCATCTAGCCGGATGATGGCCACTCGGCCTGACAGAGCCACAACAAACGACTTCGGCCCTTCGGCCTTCGGTGATATTCAGCTTCGCCCACAGCCGAAGTGACGGGCAAAAAATCGCCGTCACGGCGCATGCGCCAAGCTAAATTCTCTAATACGGTACTTCTATGCGTTGAGCCTGCTATGACAGCACGATCGGTGCGCCAGCAGTAGTTGAAGCAGTCCGCCATTAAAAACAACAACAGCGCTAACAAAATAAACACCTCGAGCAGAAGGATGTAAAAGTGCAGCGTAGATTTGCGCAGGTGTAACATCAAAAAGTGCCGGTACCATGAGCAGCCGACAGTAGACCGGCGAATGCGGGCTGTTGTAGGCAAGATGGCGGCGTCCAGGTCCGGTGGGTTAATCGTGCATGCTGCCTGCGCGAAGAAAACGGAACAGCTCTCGTTTGAATTCATGCGGCTCAGGGTAGCGGATAGTTAGTAGATGTCAACAAGAAACTACGCGGACAGATATTGCGCTGGAAAAGGAAAATCGGTGCGAATAACTTCTGCTTGGAATGAGAAGTTCGTTTCACCTGAGTACGTGCCCTTAGTAATTGTTCGCGACAAGAAAAGCAGGTATAGAGGACGCATTGGTGTTAGGAGATAAAACAGCATTTGCTCTACGATTACACGCCGGCCCTGGAAATTAACAGACGAAGAGCGGCCATTCTTGACAAAGTCCTGCTCGAGACTACACCGTAATAGCAACAACAGTAATAGCCACTGTGTTGATTATCCGCCGACGACATTATTGGAAATCTAGCTAACGTCCAATTAATTAACAGATGGCTATGACGACTACAGAATATGATTTTGGTAAGTGGACTTAACCGTGAAATATTGACATCATTTTTGTCTGATGAGTGTATAAAAAAGCAGGCCATCGACTACTGTTTGAGTTGAAAGGTGATTATCTTTCCAAAAGTATATATCTTTGGCATAAGACCGCCTATAAAAAAAAATAAAAAAAAAATATATATATATAAAGAGCCATAGTTTCAGTGGATCGCGCGCAACGGAGGTTGACCGGCAAACCAATAACCTGCTGGCGCAACGTCATGTAACTGCATGTTTAGAATAGAATATGCTAACAGCATATAATTACTGCCATTACAGCTGAGGAGAAGTTTATGTAACTGCGATAGGCTTACGACGATAATTTGAAGCGGATGGCACGCAAGTAATCTTTGCGGAGCAAAAAAGTTGCCAGATCCAAAAGGTTATAGTAAAATGCCCCGCTTGTGTTTCTGTGAGGGTATTTTAAAGGAGTTCCGCATCTACGGAAGTTTACCATTAACCAACCAAATAGAAAAACAAGGAAGCGACTCAGGCTGAAGTGGCCTAAGCTAACTCATTGATATTACTACAGCAAGTCCTCTTACATTCACTTGCGTTCGTTTCAATATGAAGGACATACAAGAGTGCTCAGAACAAAGAAAATAGTTTTAGTTTTGCATTTGCAAGCATGTCGTAAAACAATTCGTCGAGCATTTAGAAGAAACAATAACTGGCGTGGAATTAAAACTGTTTTTGTGTTAACGATTATTATCACCTTGTACTCGACGTACACAGCAGCTGAATTTACCAGCATAACATAAAAAACACCCATTTTTGTCGTATATGATTGCAGTATTTGTAGTAGTAATTGCAGAATTATTGGAATCATCAAATTTTGGAATATTGGAATATCAAATCGAAATTATAGAGACTTTATCGAAGTGAAGTTGGGTGATATAATAAGGACAAATGAAATAATAAAAACAAATAGTGAAACGAATTATGCATTTAGCACAATATTGGCGGGCGAATATCTGCATTGAATATACATATTTGCTCTACCCAGTCAAGTTCGTACTAAAAAAAATACAATTTATTGATTTTTCTTGCGTTTTTTTTTCTGATTACAGGCAAGGATCACGTCGTCCTGATGACCGAAGAAGACGCCCAAGTCAGTCCAAAATATCAACTGCCCCCTACTGCGAATGATGAACCAGCCGGTAAGTAAATATAAGTTTAGATATACAGTGCGGCTAATATACCATTCAGTGCGTATTAGGAGTAAAAAAAATATTGGTTGTATTTGATTGATACTCTTTTGATTGACTGTATTGACACTCTGGAAAAAGGTTGCTTAATTTTTTTTTAAATTATCAAGAATCCTTGCAATCCACTTAATGAGCGAGAGATTACCATATTGACGTAAAAACTACATAGCAATAACTTCTGATTTTATCTTGGACAATTGTCTCTGCTATAATGCACTCCTTGCCCCGATGCCGTAACGACGTCTCATTTGTTCGCACGTAATATTATCGAATCCTTTATCTACCGATGGTCGTGGAAGTTCTTTGTTTCAGTAAAGCTCAGTATGAATGCGATTTAGTTTAGCAGAAGTTGGCGCATTAGAAAGAATAAACCGATTTCTGGTGAGTAGCTACCGCGTACGTAAAAGCAATGGTGTACAAAGCGAGATGATCCCAAATGCAGTGGCACTATGTTATTACCCTCTGCGAAGTAACAAAAAAGGAGATTACTGTCGTTCTGCATCAGGATCGCAGCGCCTCCCAGACAGCTGTCAGGCTGAAATCGATAGATCAGTGAGCTCTCATTATTTATGCACCTCGAGGTTTTGGGAAGCGATTGTTGCTGATGGAGCCATTTAAAAATCCTTATACTCGTCAAACGGTTTGCGCTTTTAGGTTAAATTAAGAATGTGAATTTGTGTGTGAATTTTTAAAATAGAATATGTATGTATAGAGATTGTTACTTTTACTCCATTTGGACCTATCTATGAAATTCCGTTTTTAGTTGGAAACAAGCTAGGAAATGGAACACGTTATCTTCGCCTTGAATGAGCAACGTTTCTTATTAACTTGGAAGTATTTTGCAAGTACATTTTTAGAGTTAGTTTTACTGACACGCTACCAAATTTCATATAGTTGTTTGTGTAGATTTATGCCTTTAACGGTCATGCATAAGTGCACCTGTGACGTGTCACTGTGATTTCATTAAAAATATACTGTAGGTGCGTATTATTTTGCGTATTCTTTAAATCTATCTTCAGGCCTTTTCGTTCACAAAGCACATTTTTTGCATAAGAAACTATTAAGATCAAAATCCCATGCTCAGGCTTCGATTGCGAAGTATGTGGATGTATTCAAAATTTTGCTTGCTAGAGAATTCAGTCTGTTAGTTATTTTTGTGCTGTTCTCTAATTTTAGGTGCAATTTTGGCCAACGGTGATATTAATTGGGACTGTCCATGCCTTGGAGGCATGGCCAGCGGCCCCTGCGCGTTAGAGTTCCAAGACGCATTCAGTTGTTTCCATTACTCCAAGGCGGATCCGCAAGGTAATTAGGCAAATGTCAGTTTAACTTGAATGATCCGTTTCGTCTAAATGTCTAGATAAAAAGGCAGAAATTGTATGTTATTGCATGCTAGTCCGACTTATTAATGTCACTGCCATTGACTAGGAAAACAAGTGTCGTTGAGGAATTTACAAGATATTCTGGTACTCTCGCGTTTTTTGACAGTGTCGTTTTAGCTAGATTGTTAAAGCCGATGTTTGCTTGATTAGTGTTGTTACCGTATAGTGTAGTATATTATGTTACTTCCAGATTACACTATATTACTAATTAAGTACAGTAACCATGGTTTAACAATTCTGTATTTGTATGTGTTTGTTTGTCTACGTGTCACCGTTTTATTACTGCCATCACAGGCAGCGAATGTATGGCTTCATTCCAGAAAATGCAGGCATGTATACAGCAATACCCAAACCTTTATCCGGTTAGTGATGACAATGATGAAGCCACGGACAAGTTGAAGTATCTTGAAGACAACGAGGGGATCGACGACAGCGGTACTGCCACGCCAACTATTGAGCAACAACAGGAGAAATTTGTTGCGGCGGCAGCTGCCTCGCAAGAAAAACAAAAGCTCAATTAAAGCAGTTAATAACCTGGGAATGGCAGGCTGATAAGGATTCAAAGAAATAAAGAAGGGCGAAATTTCGCGTTTGTAGCAGACCATAACTGAATAGGCACTGAGAAACCACAACGTCAGCAACAGTTACCGACGGCACGTCTCTTATGATTTCACTTACGCCCTATGTGTGAAGTGCCACTCACTCTCTGATAAGCGAAGAATATGCGAAATTTCAAACACAATTACAGTGTACGGTTACCAGTGAAAAATGGGGGTAATTTCAAAGTTCGTCAGTAAAAAATGTTCTGTTTTAATTTATGCTTAAATTATGAAAAAAAAAAACAGTGAAGACTTTTGTGTGAAATGTGAGTTTCTGTATAAAACTTAATTGTTTAGTGCTAGCTGCAACATATCGATACTGGCTATCATAGGTAGTGACTGTTATAATATAACACAGGTCTTTTCAAAATCTAGCAACTTCATAGAACAACCTTTGATGTAGTATTTGTGTTCCGACTGTTCAGAAGTTATCCAGTAGGAAAAGGGAGTTCAATTAAATTAGGGGCCAACAGTAATAATTGCAGTTTGTTTTTATACAATATATTCTACAAAGCTGTTGTCGCTAAAATAAGCTAACTTTGTATGTATACGGTAGTTGGGGTGATACAATATTTTATGGTAAGCTGTTTTTGCATTAGGATTCTCATCGAATTAAAAATTTTGTTCTTCGAGGGAAAGTGTTACCTGTTCCTACATGTTGGTTCATATAGCTCTTTATCGCCCCACATTTATTTAACCAAGTAAAACGAACCTAAATGCACCAAATAATTTTCAACCTGAATATTTAGCGTATATGGCTTTCCAGCGTTATTACGAAAGGTTCTATAAAGTCATTTAAGGAAAGCGGATGTATGAAACAATAAACAACCAAAGGAGATTTGAAGATAAAAAATGCATGTGGCAAATGTGAACACTAAAATGGTACATACAGATACTTTGTTGTTCGAGGTTATCTCCATAGAGTTATGTACATTTTATTACAGGTAACTTCCATATGTTCTGTCCGTTTCTATAATCTGTTAGTATGCTGGAGCTTATACACTTTCACAGCTATGTATGTGACATAAGTGTTTATTGGTTACGAGGTGTAATGGTAACGAAGTAATGGTAATTAAAAGAATTCTTATTATAGGCATATATAGCTGCAGTAAATAAATAAATATTACAAGGAAAATAGGAAGGCTATTTCTCTTGACTTTAAAACCGTCGTTAGTGTCGCAACAGACTAGCTACCGTCGAAGACTAAAGTCAACGTAGTAGTTGTTTTCCCAGAACATCAGTAGGCCGGCTAAGTTGACTCGGAAGTACGGAAGTCACCGAAACATCAGAAGGTGAAGGCCAACTCAAACCCCGCAAAGAGTTAAGGAGAGCCCAGTCCATATAGTACGGCCATATATTCTTGCAACAGCTTTCAACTTTAGACGTTTCTACATTGCCGTTGAAGTAAAAGCAGGAAGTGGCCCATTTAATATAAGCTGGTGCCTGGATAAGATTTGCCACTTCGCAGAGTTCTGCTAAATACTGAAGTGATAAAAACGACAGGCGATGAAATAATCGATGCACAATCAATGTAAACCGCACAGACGGACTGTCGAACGTAAGCAATTAATGGGTATGCGAATAAATGATTGAATAAGTGGCCAAGTGCTCATTTATTTTGTGAAGATTATGCTCAAATGGGGCACGATCTTAAGGTTAAAAACAGTGAAAATGTTGTATAAATGATGAAAACCTGAATCCTATTATGACCGGAAGAACATTTCAAATAACCATAGCAAGGGAAAAATATGCATGCCTAAACGGAAAAAACAAATGACTAAAGCAGAGCGGCCATATTGGTGATAATATTGATCAGACAGGCGGTGATGGGAAGCAATTTTGCACTGACTATGTATAGTAGCACATGTGTAGGTCATAAAACCATAACGAACGGCAGCCATCTATGCCTGAAACAGATGGTATTAACACATGCAGAATTATTTATATATTGTTGACACAGTGGCGCAGCCCATTTTTTATAGATCAATAAGAATAAAATCACTGTTTCTCACAATAACAGCACAATGTCTTTTTAATGCGTGTCTACCCAAATCTATTTAAAACCTTTGCAATCTTTGAGTTTTGTTCTAAATTCCGAAGTTTTGTTGTATTATTAAGCCTATCACTGTTAGTGTCATTAAAACTGAAGCATCTCCCTGGATTGCCACCTCGAAAAGACAGCCACCCAGTGAATCTGACAACTGACTTTTGTGTTTGCTTGGTTTGTTTCAGTATAGTTTTGCTCTCGTCAACAGCGTTGTATCCAAAAACACTTTTCGAGGGCGCTTCATGACAGTCTACAGCTAGAAGTCTAGTTGACTAGATTTTTCTTCCAGTAATGCTTCAACTAGCGCTTACTCCATTTAAACCATGAGATCATATGCATATTGCTATTTAACGGGAATTACATATCCAAGGAAGCCATCTTTAATTAAAAGCCATCATCCTCCAAGGTATATTTAAGGTAAGAACACAATGTTCATGGGTGTAACAGCACTTTCAGTTTTTTATCGTACGAAAAAGCAGAAGTTTTGTGTGTGTGTGTGTTCTGTCTGTAGGCATTAATCGCTGATTCATACCGCTTTCTACAAATATAGGTAACTGTCAGCTTTTTGAGTAGCATATCAGCAGGTTATTATAGGAAAAAACAAATTCACGTATGTTTACAGAAACCAATAAACATATGGAGCATACAACTGTTTTCAGAGCTTCTTCCGTTCGCTCATTTATTAAAGTAGTTTCATATTTTCAGCAATATCTGAGTTGACACTTCTATAGTTGCTCGCCACTTCAATCTTCACATCGATATCTGGTTATTACCCAAGCAATTGTGTTTATAAGGTTAATCACAACGCTATCTAGTGACCTCAAATAACAAAAACAGACAAGACATTGCCTGCACATTCTCAATATAGTCTGTGAAAAATTTCACTTTAGACAATCTTAGTGTTAACTTACAAATAGCCACATTAATTAAATTTGTGGTTTCTGAACAAAATCAGCACTGATTATATGTTAATGTTTGCAAAGGCACCAATCATCAAACCGTTTCCTTACATCCTGCATGGTAATGCCTTTATAGGTCATTTAATAAACACTATCTAGAATAAACATATGGAAAAAATAATTTCTGCACCTTAGTAGCGATTACGGGCTAATATTTTTTTCTTCGGTTGTGATGCTGATTGGTAATATCAGCGTGTGAACTTTCTGAGAAAAATTATATACTACACCATTTCTAAGTGAGTTCCCCTAAGATGCCATCGAGTGCTAAAGGTATTTTAAAACAACAGTCTTTCTTGCACTTCACTCCATGTTGTCGTCTTGTTCATAGTCATTTGCCGTCAACTCTACTCCTATATGGTTTGTCTCGATAAACTTGGGCGACTCAACGTGCGGATCAAATGTCCATTTCGGAAAAACCCGCTTGTAAAGGTTGATAAGAACGGTGTCCATCGATTTCATTTGCTTATTAAAGACGCACTTCATGTGTCCATGAGTACCTAAACCGTGCGCAAAAAACACAACGTCAACATTAATTTGGCTCTAGTGAGTTACCAGAAGGTAATTGGTGTTCAATAACAATAATAATAATCATATATATATATATATATATAGATACATATATATATACTTACTAAATATAACTAAACAATGCGATATTATAAGGCAATTGCTGTTATTATTCGCCTGATATTTACTGAGAATTTCAGGTCTCTAATGTTGTGGCATATTAGAATTTGGTTCGCATGAGTATTATACTGGCCTGCCTAAACGCAAACGTCAAATGGTGATAATGTTTTCACTAATTAATGAGGTGTTGAGTTGAAAAATAAGAGTTGTAATCACTAATTAATGAGATTACATTTTTTACTTAAAGATTCTCAGTCATCAGTAATACACTACTTACCAAGTGGCTCCCTGATATGTCCTCTGAGGCCATATTTGGTACGAAGTTCAATCGGTTTAAACCAAAGAATGTCCTCTGAAAACACAAATCACAAGATACAACATCGACATAAATTACCACTTAACAGTCGATTAAGTCGCACTATAGGTAACGTTCCACAATGACTGTTTGTATTTATATATGTATATAACGTGCAAGAAACGCATCTATATATACATCACTAAAAGTCCGCGTCCGCAAGTTCGTGCATCACAGAACAAGCTCTCATGGTGCATAAATCGGGCAGATTTTTTTGCATGGCCGAAGTTTCATCCTGGCAAAGATAGAGTTTATTTGTTAAATAATTCTCCTCTAGAGGAAAATTTTGCTTTTTTGCACAAAGCATTATGGTAATTTTAAAATATTGCTGATATTGGTGTGACCTTGCCGCTATACCTCGATTAAAAAACATATATCGAATAACGGCGTGTCTTCGATTGATTTTGAACGGATGACCAGAAAGGACGACTCGTTTAATAATGCAGCGATCCGGATTTGCAGATAAGACAACACCTGTCGCAACTAGCCTTTGAGCTCCGTTCGGCGATTCCTGTAAATGCAAAACAAAAAACTTTTTTTGGCAAAATTAGAATGTACAACGCACTATATATATATATATATATATATATAGGCTTATTTTTATATATTTAGTACAATATTTAGTTGTTCTACTATATAGTTGCCTCACATAGTACAGTGCATGTTAAATCTTAGTATGTGAGGGCACCCATCCTCCACACGTACTTGAAAGACTAGAACCGGAGCTGGAGGGAAGGTAATTGGTGCAAACATTGAAGCCACGCAGACACCCTCAGCAGGCAAGAAGCGCTCCAATTTATGCTTGGTTCCCATTGTGTGTTGAGAGAAAATTGGACAGTTTGCAAATCTGAAATTACCTCAAACAAAGAAAAGAAATCCATCCTTTTTAGCGAATACTGAATAGCAACTCACCCTTAGAAAGGTTAACAAAACAGAAAAATAATCAATGCAGAATCAATACAGAAGTAATAATATATCACCCATCTAATCAACACATTGTAGTAGAGTTTCGAAGTAACTACTGCATTGTTGCTAATCATTCTTCCACCATTAGTAGTTCCTTACATGCCATCTCCAGACTTATTCTCAATCAATGTCTACCGCGATATCGCACGTAAAACTCAAAAGTAAAATCTAGATCTAAACCCTTACTGGGAACGACCTTTCTTAATGTATGACTCGGCCGATAACCTCTCCGAACGTGAACTCGTGAATCGAATAGTTATTAAGGTAGGCCGATCATTGGTTAACGTATCCCAAACATACATGTACTGAAAATTGATTTTTATTATTATTATTAATTATATTACTAGGCCACCAACCGTAATCAAGATTGGAATTGGATAGACATTTAAAAGGACATCTATTATTAACTACACGAAGGCGTCACTGAAATTAAATAGTTAAAAATAAGCGTAACGAATAATGCACATCGTGCACATATCTACGCATTGTGTAAGGTGAGTTTCGTACCTTCTAAATCCAATGTGGAATATAAGCCTTTCTTTACTTCGAATAGGTAGATTGAATGTTTGATGCCTCTTGATAGTCACATTCAGAACAGACATCTTTTGTTCGTGTTCAAACAGGCCAAACACAATAAGCGGAGATCGATGTCTGTCTACACGACGTGGTACATTCTTAATATAAACCGTGATATAGGTTCCAGGCTGGAAACACCGAATACAGGAAAACATACTAAGTAATTGATAATCGTTTTTTGCTAAGTATCGCTACAAAATTGTACAAGATTTAAAAAATGCTTACCAACAATAATATCCTATTTTAATTTTAGCTATAATAATAACATACGTTGTCTATGATATTCTCTGTCTACCTGAGCACCATCACAATCCTCTTCACTGATGCGAGTGACCTTACGGCGCACTCGCGTAAAGTTCTTGAACTGGAATATGCGCGCGTAGTCACGCGGCAGATTTTCTTTAGGATCCCACGGTGATGAGTGAAAACTTTTAAGACCACGGAACCGCTGAAACCGCGTTCGGGCGTTAACGTTTTGAGGAGTGTCCATCTCGTCAGGAAACTGTTCCTCTTGACGTTGCAAACGGAACTTTTTAAGTCTGTTAATATCGAGAAATTTCAAGCAGACGCAAATTTTCAACAACCAGTTTTCTGAATTATACGTCGGTACCAATAGACGCTATACGTAGGGCTATAGACGGACTGGAAAACGTCTTTTGAATACGTTCCAAGCACTATACAAAATAGCCAGAACATGCTCAGTTATCTTTTGCGAGATGAAGACAAACAATGCTTTTTTTTTTTATAATACGCTGATATTTTTGGACGAGCAACTAAATATTTAAGGTAGTAAGATAAGTAGAATCACATTTAAATTAATCAATTGCACCCATGTATACAGACTATGTTTAAGAATATAATCAAATGTATTTAAGGCTTGACTCAACATGGTATAAGACATAAAAAATTAATTTTCTTATTTCTCTGCTCTAATATAAGAAGGTTCCTCGTATCATCGTTTCCCATTTCTTCCTCTCTCAACCTTTAAAGCATCCGATTTTTTTTACTTACGTTTCATTTTCTTCTTCCATGTCCATCTTTTTATCATACACTTCGTTGGGCACGACAGACATTACATCGCTGGCTGCATCTACCCAGTCCTCTTCTTCATCGTTGCTATCTTCTGAGTCCTCTTCACGGACGTCGAAAAATTCTGCCTGACTCGAATCTGGTGTGTCTCCATCATCACAATTGTCATCGATAGCATTATCAGCTTCGCTATCATTATCTTCGCCATCGCTTCCTCCTTGGTCTTTATCATCCTCATCGTCTAGAATCCAGGCTGCCTAAATCATCGCGTTATTAAAACGTTGACATTTATTTCTCATTACTGATATTAGCGTAGCAATACTAGTAAAAAATGCCCTTTCGTAACGCGCGGGTAGAAAAACATTCAGCGATGGTTTGATCGCCTGGGTTTTCACTGACAGAAAGATTAACTGTGCTATCTCGGAAAAACTGTTGGCTCTACAAGTGCCTAATCGTACAATATAAGTTGACGTTTACGGAAAACTAAAACGAACTCATCTGTTTTTGTGGTTTCCTAGCTGGAAACTAAGTCGATACAATTTAACAATTTGGGCAGCTAGGTAATACATACGATATAGATAATTTTGTGTATAATAGTGTATACGTTGCACGTACTTGGTAGTCCGAGGTTCCTTTGGGTACCCTTTTCTTTATCGTTTTTGCTTGCTTTTCTGCTTCCTCCAGCTCCTCCACCGTGGGAAAGGTTTGTTCGGTATCCATGTCATCAATGGGGTTCTCACACTCTAGTGTTTCTTGCTTGTTAGGATCGGCAACTTGCACAACCTCCGCATCCTTTCCTACGAATGGTCAATAGAGAGAAAATTCCAGCCATTAAGAACTCGGTGTTGTTAATATACTTGTACCTATATATATATATATTATATATATATTATATTAAAAGTAATCTAACATTAATGGTTAATTAGACGAATTATTTCGCTTCAATATTCTAAGATTTCTGTATACGACGCTTTTGTTGCTGCTTACCATTCTTCGCAAAGTTCATTGTGTATGGATCTGCAGGTGCTTCAATCAGCTCCACCTGGAAATCTCCCAAGCCCGGAATGTGTACAAGGCGATTGGCATTTAATGGCCGGCCTCCACGCAGGTAGCCTGACACCTGCACCAATAGACAAGAGAATGCTTATTGAGCTTATGCACGGAATAACCTCACATATAACGCTGACTTGAGATAGATCCTCCCCAAGCAGTTTACTTGCTCGTTAACTCACAATAGTTACCGTAATTTATATTGCACAATGTCAATGGGCTAACAAGCTAAACGCGTACTTTAAGAGTTCCTTCGAATCCGTCTTCATTATGCGGAATATAATCGGTTTGCTCCGCAAGAAGGCATGCCCTATGCCCGCGCATATGAAGAACACGTTTCTTAATATCAGCAACTTGACGAAGCAGTAACACGACGTCGGTCTCATTCTGTAGACAATGAACTTTCTCTCCAGGAAATCTGACGAAGAACATGAGGGAACAGACCGGTATATTTAGAATTCCAATTAGGGTAAGCGGCATTTGCTTTTGAATTACACTCATTGAATATACTAATGTTGTTCTACAAGTTTTCTCATTACTCCATGCAATATAAATGCGTTTCTGCTAACCTATCACGCTATTGGTTTATGCTCAAGACAGAGTAAGTGCCTTTCTGCATATTTTTAGAGCCACACCTTCTAAAAAGCCATTTTCCATATATTTACTGTAGAATTGTTGACAATGAAAAACTTTTTATTGTCATCAATTTGGATCAAAAAGGTTTGCTTTCGTAGAGAAATTCTGCATTACTAACTTACTGCGGCAAACTAACTTATATGCTTAACGATACAAAGCACTATTCCGAGGATTTGCAGTACGTGTTTCACTGCCAGAAGCTACGAACAACGGCGCCTTGCTCCGCTACCATTACCAACAGTGAGTTGAATGATCTTAGACACTCAATGTTGATCTCCGTGCTTTTGTATATACTACAAACCGACTGTTTACCTGTCTTCGATCTGTTTAGTAAGCACTTTTTTAAGATCGGTTTTCTTGAAATGTCGATCGTCTCTCGCGGCTAGAGGAGAAGCGACGTGCAGTGCCGTAGGTAAGCCTTGAGCCATCAAAGTGGATAGAAGTACATCTCCTTCAGCATCATAGCTGTAGAAAAACGGTACGTAAGAAAACAACGGATTCTTTTAGCTTTTCTCAGGGTGTGGAAGTAAAGTATTGAAGACGATTTAACTTCAACCATATGCCATAACTGCTTGCGATTAAGCTAGCTTTCGCCAAGAATCTTCATATAATCGTAAACTTCGCTATCACCTTTCAAACTGCTCAAACATAAACTATCAAACGTGTACTCTCAGCGCATCAGAGTTAGATATTTTCATGTAGATATTTACGATACCCACTAACCGTAACCCATGAGGTCCACAGTGAACCTACCCTTCCTCATGATCATAAACGATAAGAGTCACATCCGCAACTTTCACAGCATCCAGCGTACCATAGACGTCTTCCCTATTACACACTACGATTGCGTATCGCTTCTTGAAGTGTGGAAGATTCAAATGAAGAACCCCACGAGGGCTGTCCTTCAATTGAACATCCGGATGGCATCCTTTCAGCTGGTCCACCAACCTGTATAATTCCAATAAAGAAAAAATGTAGAATATAGAATGATTTTTGTATGCAATTAATATTCTGTGGGATCAGGTTGTGTATTGTTTTTGCATATAAAATCATAGGGACGACCAGATGTTGATAATTATACTAAGATAAAAGGGAAACGGGACAACTGAATTGAAAAGCACACGTGACGATAAATTGCACAGTAATAACATAAAGCTTTATGAGTACTAGGTTTTTCTTAGAAATTATCTAGGACACTAACATTGTTTCAGTCATAGCTAGAAATGAGGACGCCAGCCGCATAAACGGATTGGTCCTTAGGCTTTGATCGACGATTTAAACATCGCACGCTGGATTTTCGATGCAATCCAACTATCCGTCTAATATATAACATATGTATTTACCTATGGGGATCAACTGAGGCATGGGCCGGTACAACGGCGACAATGAACGGTGGCGACGAAAGTCCTCCAATTTGCCGCTTCATTTCAGCTACCTCTAGGCGTTTGTTCTTGCGCAGCTGCGCCAGCTGCTGTCGACGTTCATGACGGGCAAGTGTCCGATTATTTTTCCTCAGGACAACCTTAGCGCCTACTCGTCCTGTAATATTGACACGCGTATATAAACAGCACCCCCAAGAGTAGGTTAGGAGAAATCATATTAATTATACACCGTAACGGTGTAAAATGCACAGATGTAACATACGAAAATATGCATTTACTCAAGTATACAGTCATGTGTAAAACTCATGACAGAAACCGACGGCGTTTTATGTCGAAGTATGTTCTAGTTACAGGTGAGTGAAAGGACACGTTTGAAAATGCACGACTAATTCGAAGGTTATGATCGTTAATAGTAAACTCATTTACTGAATGTAATTTCTATTCTATAGAAGACTATTTAATCTTGCTCTTTCTATTATTTGTGTGTATAGCTGTGTAAGAATCTTACATTGCCATTATATAAAGCTAAAGCGTAGCTCAAATGTTAAAAATCATGATAACTGCTAACTCCTGAAGACGCCTAATGGGAACTTCACGTTGATTTTGACATGTACTGATAACACCATATATGTGCCTATATAAATGCCATAAAAATATAGAATATTATGAAATCATTTTGTTAACCCGTGTTTGAGGGCATGAAAATGTTCAGTATTGAAGTCACACGATTAATATTAACGATTAATAATAGTGCTGCAATCGAACACTGTGTAGAAAACCAACCTGAGAGCTCCCGCGCAACTGCCCTCTTGCTTGAATGTTGTCCTGTTTTATGAGGCTTGTTTTGCTGTTTTAAAGGTCCGGGTTTATGTACAGCGACCGGCATTTTGTTAGTATTTAGAAAGAAATTTCACGCTACTCGTAAAATATAAGCATTACAAACGGATAAACGCGTTCAAAGAATAACAAATTTAAGAAGCACGTGGACATTCGATAACGAAAACGCTAGCAGATACCTTTATTGACATTCGGTTGGCGGGCAAGTTTAAATGGCGCGACCGCCCTGCCTATCCGAACAAATTGTTAGGCTATTCAGCACCGAGCCTTTTAACAGAACAAGCTTCAAAAGGTTCTTATCAGGACATATCTATACGAATAGCTAAGGCGTTCACTTATTCCGACAATCACGCTATACGTTTAGAAAGGGAAAAAGACGGCAAGTGAAACAACCGTCTTATTATTTTCTAGTTAGCGTGAAGGTAACAATCCGGGAGTGGAAATGTCTTCTCGGTTCGAGGGGAAGGGAGTGTTGTGATCCTGAACTCAGGAGCGCTCAGGATCTACGTTGCTGGAACACTATATCACAAATATTCAACGGCGTTCCGTCTAAGTGCAGTGAGCAAGTCATCAAACAGACAATGCGCTATACAGTGATAGGAATTTAATGCAAAGAAACTTCCGAAGGAAAACTGCGTACAGAGTGATCAGAAGTATTATCGTTACTTTATAGCTGACGTAGAAGTTTAACAATGAGCTTGATTCGGGCGCCTTACCGAATCGTTTCAACGCTTTTCACATGTAAGATATGCTCCAATAATCATGCCGTATGTAGGTAAGCATGCAATCCGCTGGCATAGGGACATATTATGCCGTTGTCACTGGAAAGACGAAAAATGAGCGTATTAAACGTGATTATTATTGACTATACCTCAGTAATTAGCCTATTTCCGACCGCACATATGACCGGATCCCTTCGCACAGGATCACCTCAGCATTGTTCCAAAAAAGATATTCCATAGGGCTGGGGTAACTGTCTTGACTTAATTAATTTATTTAACCTACAACTAACTGTGTATTAAAAACGTTTCGGATATTATTGTTCGTAAAAATAATTTTTGTATAATACAAACCTTTGTGTATGACGACATTTCTTTGCGTTAGGCAAATGAGATTGTATCACCTAGCAAACACAATAAATTTCAACATTATAATGCGCACCTCACTAAATTACGTTTACGAACGTACGCCTTCATGTACAGTTTTTGTATGATAATTGTATTCTGCTGAATGAAAGTAACACAATTTGCGACGAGCCCTAAATACGAATTTTTTCATGCTTAGTCTTTTTCAGTGGAAAGGTCCGTCTACTTATTGTGTTATCGCTCGTATATATGAGTGTACGGATATTGCTGGATTATCACAGTAAGTGAATGGCTTTTTCTCCTTCTTCTTGTTATTATTATTGTCGAGAAAAAAAAAATAATAATAATAAGTTAGGCTGCAAAAGCTAGTTGTATTTTAAATGTTTTGATTCATTATTTATTTTTCCGTTGCTTTTTCTTGTGCTTATCAATGTAAATATTCAACGCTGAGTGAAGTATCCTATGAATATAAATCCTCAACATAATTCTTTATGCATTCTGGGGTAAACAAAGTTTCTAAATGAAGTTTTGAAAATAACCTTCCCATACTTAATTAATTTAATAACTAATTGAAAAAGCATGTGCTTCATTTTCAGAGCAAAGTCTTCATGAGCAGCTCCGTGTGGAGTTAAACGCCGCATTGCCAAGTAAGCTAAACTGACGTCATAAAGTCATAGTTACAGTATTTAGGTATTTCACATTTTGCATTTGGACGGACAGTATCAGGCTGGTTTAAATCCAGCATTATTGTACAGCACTACAGAATAATCTAAATTTTCGCTTTACATAGTTTGCTCATACAATATTGTTTAGCAGCTTTGATGTTTTTATCTTCAAAAGTTTCACTATAAATTTGTCGATGCTTTAAACTGTGTACACAATAAAGGTGATCATGAATCAGCTTTTTTGGAAAGTTTTAACAGGCGAACTGTTGTCTATATTATACACACAGAGGATAGTTGACTTCGTTGGTTATTGCAACAAAGACCGTAATTAGGCAGCTGCTGGGTGGTATATGGGATGTAACTCCAGAGGCATAAAGATGAACTGCTCTAAAAATTTTCAACGTTTGCATACATAATAATTTGCAGAGTTAAGACTATACGTATCCGGCAAACAATGACACGTTAAGAACGATGCGTGCTTTAATAGCCGAAAATTTTCAGCTGACTACATGGGAAACCTTTGCTATCCTATTTTTTTTTTTTTGTTTTTGTTTTTGAGCAATACAAATTGCTGAATTTGATCGCGAATGGCTTTAAAAGATCCGTTTCTGTAACAATGAGTGCTATGCGTCCTCTTGAGTCTCCTCAAAACATTTTTCAAGATCGAATTCGTTATCAAAAAAGCACTGGTACTACTTGTACTTGCATATACGTATTTTGCCGACGCCTTTGAATATTGAGAACAAACTGAACGCCGCAGTGTAATATATGGTCGTTTCTCTGAAAAAGGATAAACATGTCTTAGATTGGCAACGGAACTAAATTGCTCGAGAGTATAAAAACAGTTTGTACCATAGAAGGTTAGAGCGTTCAAGACTGCAGGTTGATTATAGCCAATCGTCGAAAGGTCTTAGTAAATGGCTGAAAGGCACTTAGGACGAATCTGCTCCGAGAATGCTGCTTGTTGCGCGATGGTAGACAAGTCGTTGAAGCATTCAGATCTCTCTCTCTGAGGACATAAACAAACACCAATAGAACCAAATATTGTAGTTTTGATTTATATATACTCCGCGGAACGCACGTGCGTTAGCCCTTAACTTGCCTAAGGAAGCTGGATCGAAGATACTCTGACAAACCTATTGATGAGTTTTCCACCATTTAGCATTTACAGATATTACCTGATGAGGTGCCTGTAGTAGGCACTAGATCATAAACAAGCTTACAGGTTTTAGCGAATCTGTACTGTCTAATGTTGTATACCACTAGTTCTCCAAAAAATTTAAACTGAGCCGCCTCCAGGTGTTAATCCATGCATTCCACGACTGTTCTGTTATATATCGGTTTTTTTTTAATGGGGAGCTTTACTAAAGCTTGCGATAAGGTTAAGGGACTGATATTTTTTCTAAGCAGGGCAATTTGTAGAGACTGTCGTAAAGAATTAATCTCTATACGACTTAAAAATATGGAAATTGATCAGCCAAATGATGCATAATTACCCTAGCATCTCAGCATGTAAATCTTAATGCCTTGAAACGGACATTTTCCGATCTACTCGACACCATTTAGTGCTACTTTGTTTCAATTTTATTTTAAGCTAGTACCGCCATTCTCTGTTTACAAGAATGCGATTAGTACTCTAAGTAGAGTAAGAGTAAACAAGAAACGAACGATTAAGGAGGGGCCAGCGTCGATTTTTGGTTAACATTTGAGGAAAAATTTAGATATGCCGCTAATCCTTATATGCAACTAGAACAGAGAAGTATTTAAGGCCTAAATATATTTTCCATCTGGGCTTTTTATTGGTATAGCTTCGGAGTGTTACACTGTATCGCAGAGGTATCGAGAATTTTTTGCGTTAGCGATTGCTCATACTTCAATTGTTTAAATCTCAATTATCCCTTTATAAAGTAAGCCGTGTCGGTTACCATGCACGTGTATTACGGTTACATTATAGAAGTGAAAAGCCAATGCTTATTCTCGAAGAATCCAAGGCTATTTTGGTGGACAGCATTACGTCATCTTCTTGAAGCTTCCGCCTAATAGTCTTTGATAGTATGAAAATTTCTCGATATGAACCAGTAAGGCGTAATTCCTTGACAGTCAAAAAAAGGGTCAAAATAAATTGGATTTTTGACATGGATTTTGCATTTTTCTTCAGTTTAGGCTCATTTTTAAAAAGACTCTTGAACAATTGGGCTTTTGTTCCCATATCGTATTTCTTCACCTGGGCGCAATAAAATAAATCTACATCTTTTCCAAGTACATTAAGTTTTTCCTGAGTTTCTGACAAGTGTGTCTGTAGTCAAAATGTAGGTACTTCAGCATAATTCTTGCTGATACTCTTATTGCCTTCAAATGAACTCCCAAATTAGTTCGAAATGACTTGTATGATGGACCTAACTCATCCTGAGAGCTTGTTGTGCCTTGTCGTTACTTTTTTGATACCCAATAAAACTACCATGCTCGTTATTTCGCTGCGGACAATTGCTAAATTTAAATTGTTGGATAGGCCATTTTACATCACGGTTCTCTTTGAACCTGAGTCAGTAGCTAGTCTTTTTTCTTGATGGAGAAGAGGCTCAAGGTCGTATGGCCCCTCATTATACGTATGCGCATACAAAGAATGAATGGAGCATCTATTGGTTTGTTGAGTCCAAAGCAACTGAGCCTTAACATCTCCTTAAAGGATGAGTATATGAACTACGTAAAATATCTTTCGAGCAAACTGCGATGAAGGGCAATTAGGATACTTCCTGTGATCAAGGTTAGCTGTTCATCAAGAAAATATGTACTGAATAAAGTATTTTACCCCTTTTTCACGCACCGAGTTGTCCGACAAATGCACGTTACTTTTAAGTCAATGAGAATGTATGTGAGGGCCATTGATGGTTGTGGCTTGAATTTATTATACTGAGATGCGATTCATCATAACGAGAAAACGCTAAGACGAAGACTGAAATGACGTAACCTACCATAATATCAAATGTTATGTAAATGAGAAAAAAAAATGCAGAGGAGGTACAGTCAACGTGCGCCATGCCACTAACCTGCGTCGGCTAAGCAGACTCCTTCGAAACTAAACTAATATTAAACATGTTAGCACTAATTAATTAAATATGTAATAATATTTGTTGCGTATCTTTGATTCTTTTTTGTCAACAGATTTACCTCGTTCTATAGCTTGCTGCGTAACATAACGCTTGAATAACCTACATCTATAGTTAGTTCTTGTCCTGCTTCTTATTACATTTACTATATTACATTTTTTTGTACGATCGTTGCTAAAACGCTATGAATTTTTAAAAATAGTATTTATAATTTATTTACTGGTTTCTTCCCTCTCAAACCTTCCGAGCACAGCGTTAGATTGTTCCATCATCATTACATTCCATTCCATTGTCGTTAAATACTATTATCATGATATTAAAAGATATAAAATATGATTCCTGCAATATAATACAATGTGCACAACTGATAGATCCTCTATGTATATATATATTTTTTTAAATTTCATTTTATTTTTATGATTAATAGCGAGAGGTAGATAAAAGAAACGTTCCATTCTGTCTTAATATGCAGTGTCTCTTTCAAATGTTTTGCGGGCCTGCGGTCAGGCTCTTATGGTTTACGATGGTGACATTGCCTTCAAAATCTCAGTTTGAGCTTTAGCCGATTCTACCGAGAAAAAAACCACGTTGCCAATCACGAGAAACATATTGACCTTCCAAATAGCCAGCGTTTTGATTCGTCTTATAGAGCTACATATATCGGCTGTGTTCTGATGCGATGTTCATAGTGGTCTCCGTAAAGACGTGCTACACTGAAAAGCATGTCCTGCATGAGTACGCGATATGGCCGGGGTGTGCTGAGTATCATGGGGCATGCGTACTGATGTTATTAATGCGGGCGTCTGTGTATGTGTATATGATTAATCGTCAATAACTTATTTCATTACAAAGGCAGACCAAATTACGTAACGATACCCCTGTCACATCGAATCGCTATGCGGCTGTCACAGCGGGATATCGCACATATTTACTTAAGCTACTTACATCTAAGTAACATTTGAAGGCCTCATTGACAAAAACAATTAACGTGTAATGTTTCCTGCCAGCTGACTATCATCCATCCGCCTAGTTCGATCGCACTTATAAATGTGTAGCTCCTTAAAGCAGCATCTTTGAGATAAGCTATATTGATTGCGTTTTCAAGGACTCTTACCACTAGCCCTATCGATGAGAATAATTCCTGCTTAGTTTACAAAACGTAATTTCTCAGCGCTTACACCTTGTTTATGGAGACTTAACTAACAACAGTGCCGTTGGAACCAGTCAACTTATTGAAGCAGGCATCATTTAAACGACGGAAACTGTTTTAGTCGTCAGGATTTCGTATATCTGATTCGGGAAAGGCTCGAAACTAACTTGAAATTATTATACATTCCATCGGCATTATGAATATCCTGTTAGTCTGTCAGAGAGAAAAGCTCGTACGCTACAGCGTTCATTGCAAATCAGCCTTGGTACTTATCACGTAAGGCACAGCCAAAAATTATTGAAGGACCTCCACGAGGCATTTGACAACGATACCCCTAGATCTTCAAGATTTACATAGCAACATTTTTATATCTATATGTAGAGCTAATACCAGAATAACTATCGATATATTCTCTGTACTGGGGATTGAGATATGTTTTGGACACGGTCAAAAATATTTTCCTCACTTTGGGTAGTATAAACGTGTGTTAGAGGATTCGTCGCTTGCCCGTACATCTTGGAATTGGAGAAAATGCTTGAATTTTGCCATTGACTTCCAATTCTGATCATATCAATTCTTAGACACACACCACTAGACTGACCCCCAGCCAAACGGCCAAATGCGTGCTAATCAAATTGACATTGCTAAGTTCATGAGAAGATTTTCGTTAACGCAAGCTCAGCGCTTATTTCAATAGGGATGTTCCGTCTCAACGTACTGCTCCGGATTCAAACTTTCCCAACCTGTGCGCATCTTGCGTGCCTTAATTGTTTCTGCGGAAACGCTACGTCTATCATAAGCCCAACCGATTAGGGCAAAGAAATCGATAATTAAAGTCGTTGGGTTTAGCGTGTACGGAAGTTCCGCGGCCTTGTAGTCCTGCAAGATAATACATGATAGAACAGATGATGTATTATATTTTCAGCTATTGGGTTTGTGGTTTGTCTCTGTGGTCTGACCGCGCACGTTACAAGCGCTATGACCATTCCTAGACTCAACAGGTCTATGCACCGTTCTAATGCCCCAGCATTTATCAATGAATATTTGGTGGGCATCTAAGCCAGACCATGAAATTTGACGAGTGAGTCCACTTCAGTTTGATATAGCGCTCATTTTGAGAAGGGAGCCCAGAATAGCCTTCAGGACATACGCCCAAAAGAGAAATGATTTTCATCAGTTCATCAAATATTATATACATCTAAGTACATCTAGAAGAACTTGATTTTATAGTTAAATATCTCAAGATGTGCGGCTATAGAAGAAGGACACATTTGATGGTTGTTTTCAAATAAGACGATGGTTGTCATTTGCGTCAAAAATTCTACTGAAATAAGCTTAATTATTGACATTATGATGTTTCACATAATTTTTTTTTAACACTTATCATATTAGTCTTGTAGAATAGCTTAACCAGCGCTAGGCTCATAGATTACTCATTTCCGATTGGGATTCAACGACCTTAGCGTGAGAAGTCTGTTTAACCTAACACCTCTAAATATAGCAAATAACAAGTCGGATCGTTCTTCGCCACGTGTTACTTACATGGGGAAAAGTATGGTGATAATTGTGCCAGCCTTCTCCAATAGCGCCTACGGACACTCCCCAATTCTCGACCGGGTTGATGTTGGTATCGTAAGGTTTGTGACCCCACATATGGGCCGCTGAGTTTACAAGCCAGGTCACGTTCAGTGAAATGCAGTACCTTGATCATCGCAACAGGAAAAGGAGAGAGATTTAGCAATGGATACCGACAATGAGTTTCTCTGGTTGCACGTTGATGATGAAAGTTGTTGCTAACGCGTATATACGAAGTGTTTGAGTGCTGATCTGATTAACCGTTGACAAAATCAAATCAGCTCCATTGCGTTTAATGATAAATGCATAAAATGGGCTAGATATGGGTAGTTTTTCGTATGTGGCCTCACGCAAGCCACTATTATAATTAAGAAAAAATATTGTCATTCCCCTTCACTTTTCTCCGAAATTAATATTAAGTAGAACCTTCGAATACCAAGTACCGTTCGTGGATGAGCTCATATTGTTGTGGACCAATTAAGCGTTAAAGGCTTAAACCGAAATATTTGAACTTTCCATATTTAAGCATACTGCCCCTGTGGCATATATTAATAATAGGGGCTGAATCAACGACCCTCCAGCTCCTTGAATCAGAAATTTTTCTGTTTAAATCAGCACACTCGAGTTGAGATCAGAATCACTGTCAAATATGATTTATGCTCATAGATGATCCTGTACTATAGTAAAATCATTTTATTGGTCTTAGATAATAGTTATACCTTGTAAGTGAGCAGATGACGAAAGCATTAAGAAAAGTTTCGCCCCAGAGGAACATCGGGATGACGGCCGGAAAGATGAAGCAACAAATGAGCACGGTCTTCAAATAGTGACGTTTCTGGAAGGCGACGACGGGGTCAGCCTGAAGATCGCTCAGATCTATTTTTCGTCCCTTCTCAATGACGTCCGGATGTTTTCGGCAAAGGAGCCACCCAACATGAGAAAAGAAAAACCCTCGCTTGGCATTATGGGGATCAGCGTTCGTCTCCGAATATTTGTGGTGAACTCGATGATCACGGGCCCATTCCATTATGTGATTCTAGAACAAAGCAGTAATAATTTTTTTTAAGTCTAGCTGCACCAGTAATCCATTGGATTCTATTACGCTTCCCAACTTTGACAGTACTTGCAAAAGAAAAATATGTTGAAATAGCGTAGATGCCGTGTACAAACCTGGAACGCCATACTTTGACAGAAAGCTAAGAAAATTTTGAGAGGAAGTTTAGCCTTGTACGTCCTATGAGCCCAGAGACGATGGGCGCCGGCAGTGATTCCCAGACATGAGGCGAAGTACATAATATATGCTGTAACAGACATTGATAATAGTTATTCTTATAGTATGGTATAAGGTTATTCTCTCAGTTTCACGGTTTTCGACCTTACCGCACTTTAAAACGGCCGTGCCTTACCGCACGAACCAGAACTGGTTAGCTGTCTATACCATAGCGCATATACTACAGGACAGCTTTGAAAAATTCTTAACAGAAAAGAGGTCTATCTCTCTGGTAGGCTTTTGATACATAATGACTTTGTTATACACACTCTTGTTATTTATAATTAAAATAAATACGATTGTAGGTTATTAATCGAATATTGTCTACGATCAACCGCGAGGTCCATTTAGTCGAACCGTCTCGTTATGATACAATTCTAAGGAGATCAGTCAATTTTTTAAGCTCAACGATAATTGGAAATATATTGTATTTTTAAACTACATTACTTCTAAAACGATGCCGGGGTATAGAGAGACCTAACGGAATACACATTTTCTTCAATTTTTGCGTTCAACGATTTTCGGTATCATCCTAACTTTTTACTTTACTTGTTATATTTATAGATATTTTGACATATTTTCTGGTAATATGTACCCTCTTATGTAATCCTAATTTTTTTCGAATGTTATAGCCTTCTTGCAGAAACCAGTAAACTGAGCGTCGCTCAATCAACTCTGTTGATTGTGTTGTATCATTCGCTGCTAAAAATATATACCATCTTGTTTTCATATATATATGTATATATACAAATGTTTTTTTTCTATACATCATCGGCTTCTGTTTTCGGCCATGCACCTTGTAGCAGAGCCACCATAATTAACCACATACTAACGCTAGTCATGAGAGACCAAAACTACGTGGAGAGTTTCGAAAAGCGTCAGAGGTACGAAAAATGCCATTATACTGACACAGCGGTGTTGACAATTCGAATCTCAGTGACCAGTCACGAATTGAGAGACAGTTGTGCAAAGGCCGCTCAGGAAGCATATCATACCTGCTCCTTAGAAGGGAGAGAAGGACACGGTACAGAAATAACTAATCCTAGAAGGTACATATAGGAATATGAGTGGAGTAACTTAGGTGATGGTAGATAGGCAAGCCAGCATGGACCTACAGTGCAATGAGAACTCTTAGTTAGCCTTACCACTCATTTACAGGGCAAACTGGTTGACGGCGCATGGCAATTTTTAAACTTTCTGGTGGTTGACAAAAGCGGAATTATTGAATGAAGGCATGAACATTACTATATTACCAAGAAATACTACGCTACTAATTTAGTTCGGCGCTTGATACAGGGGGAATGGGAAGCGTCTGCTGAAAGTCTACCACTCAAAGTTAGACGATGACTTATGCTTAATTAAAAACTTTTTTAAGAGAATCTAATGAAGCGTCACGCAGTGTCGTGGATGATGGTAATATTATTACTGGTTAAGATGGAATAGGCACTTTACGGTTGATTGAAATGATCAAATACGCAGTCAGCGTTTACTTTATTCACCTTGGTGTCAATGTAAATTTATAAGAACACGTGATTGTTAAAATGAAATAGAAAAATCGAAAAAAATTGATATCCATATTTATTGTGTATGAAGTGTTTATTAAACATACGCAGAAATGCGTATGTTTAATAAACACTTCATACGTAACATGGCCTCTTGTATACAATTATTATAATCACCATTATAAAAGAATATTTCGTTGCAATATTATTATAGGTTTCGCTCGTTTTTTCGTAGTGGCTTTATTGACAATTAATTAGCATGTTATTATTCCTTTACTTGTACTCTCCCAATTCGTGTACATATTTATAGTATATAACCAGGGGAATTTACATAAAAGTAGCCGCGTTCCAGTTATCTCTTGCTCTATACATGGACCATCGCAATAAAAAAATAGTACGTAACCTGCAAAGGATCTTTTTAGCATGTAAGGTACAGATGGCGGCACTTTATGCAGTAGAATGGCTAAATTCTAATATGCTGAATTCGTATAACGTAAAAAAACGCCAGTATATGAGCCCGATCATCATCAAGAAGTCGGCAAAACCAACTTATGCACGTAAAATTTAAGCGTAACGTAAAACGCAACGCCAGTACGGTAAAATCGTTCGGAGAACCTCGCAGCAAACGCACTTTAATATGGTAAATGTATCGTCAATGGTGTATGTAACACACGGTGCGTCTTAACCGTAGTTGACTCAAAAAATAGCAAAGACTATTATAACTGTGAGGGCAATACTGAAATTTTCAGTTCCCATTCGTTCGATTGAGCTCAGTAGCGGACCCCGTTCTAGGCTTAGGGAAATGATTCGGGTATAGGTATCACGAGTTCCTTGTCCCAATTTACCAGAATTACTAGAACTTAATTACAGGCCGTACGTGTTTTTTTTTTTTGTTTTATTTATACGCACTCTAATCCGCAAACGTATCGTGTTCTGTAAGCGATTTTTAGAATCTTTTCATTGCGTATCCGACCTACGTTTTATTAGAAGCAGAACCACATTACAGGAAATGGGCTATATGTGCTGTAAATCACAATTGGCTTTAGATTTGCTGCGTCTTAACGTAAATCCTTTATTAACTGACAAGGTCCTATATTTAGGATAAACCCATGGCGTACCACGTTTGCCTTAAGTAAACAGAGTAAGATATATGCATCTGACAACGCAACTGTTTTGTCTGCTTACTAAACAGCAGTCGCCACATATGGTGAACAGAGGACGTCGAAAATGATGGATTTCGAAAAAAGCCAAAGACTAGACTCAGAAATTCTATGCTCATGTAAAAGCTGTATATTTTTTAGCGAAACATTGACTGAGTGGAGTTAATTATGAAGCCCATATTTAATTGGAACAGTATTTAATTGCACACGTATTAAACATCATTAGGCAAAGGGCATCAACTGAACAGTCTGCCAATATCTAAATGGGCAATTGTTTAGCTTATAAGCCTTGGCAAATTGATAGAGGAGTGCCAATTCGTTCCTCAGACAGTTCAAATTATTCAGCAGCCTACATTTAACACCAAATCGAATAAATCGTTCGACATCTATCTACCTTGTTTATCTTTTGCAAATGTCTTCTAAACAACACCTAATCACGGACATCGCTACTGCATCTCTATTAAGATAGACCGTCCTCGAAGGATTATAGGACTCTGGTAACGTAGAAGAGAGCTAAGAGCGGGCTGGTTTGGGCGCAATGAATGGGTAGAAGCGGATACAATGAATTTTATCTGCCATTTCTGCTACTCTGCCGTAACTGTTTCGCTCCGGCCTGCATTTGGACGGCCCACGCAATGTATCGGTTTATATTTTGAGCTGAGTCAACTGTTCTGAGACAGATTGATAAAAGACAAGACGCATCCATTGTGACCGTATTCTTTATATAGAGGTGTAGCATCTCAGTGGGTGACCAGCTTGGAAATGGAATAACGATTTTAGTAGGCAGCTATAGGATTAATATGGCAACTTTTAATAGTTCCATAATTTTTTAGTCAGGCAAGACAAAGCCAAAATTGCTATGCCAGAGGAAAGGAAAGAAAAGATTATAGTCCGAAGCGGTCAAAATGAACGTAAGGGTAATCAGCGAGCAGAACATATGACTCGCTTGAAACCACTGAGGAGAATAAAAGTTACAGCTATTATTAGGTAACGGGATTCCGCGCTAACGGTTGGTTAAGCGGCGGCCACCCGAAACTGCGGCCATTTGGACAACATTCGAATAACGCTATATCTGCTTAGAGTAAAAATAGCAGGTTGATAGAGTCGATCTTGCAGAGAGTATCGTATCTATATACTCCCAGCAGACGATGTAGTTCTTTCCAAGTGATTCTAACGTGCGCAGATTTTACTAGCTACCGAAAACTGGCCCATTCGTTCAATTAATGCGGTTTTATACGCGTACTACCAGTAAGATTGCACGCATTTCCGACACCTAAATCGAACTACCTTATCGTTCTATCTTAAATAGTTAAACAATTTTAGCTTAGTTTAAGCTAAAAATAACCAGATCGTTGATAGTGCTGTTTTGTATGGGAATCTTTATAATGGAAATCAATTAGGATGACTTCGGAGTTAGAACGTCACTAGGGGAGCAACGTTAACGAGTAGTCTGGGAACCCTGCGCAGCTTTATAGCAACTGACGAGTACGAAGTAGAAAACCATTGTTCTCACCTCACATCCGTTTTCATACACCGCCTTAATCAAAGGCGCTTCTTGCCTTCGCAATTTGTTCGCAATACCACAGATTGTTAAGAACAGATTAACGACATCGAACTCGTTTAGTGTGATAACGCTAGTGAGAAACTAACGGCAGCTTTTCAGCTTCGTCCAGTTCCAGGGACCCTGTGACCGTTAACAGCTTATTTTCTACTGTACTCGCTCTAGCATATTCTAACCTCTACATAATTGAACGCCACGAACAAATCAATGCACGCACGCCTTGTTCTCAATGTAAAACGATCTTTCATCTCGTCCTACACCGGCGAACTAGTGCTCACAACTTTACGCCCTCGGATGGCAACGTGAGCTACCTATTTTCTAAGATCAGATACCAGCGGAGACAAAATGAACCCCATGAGTAAATCATGTTCTGTATATCTCATTTCGTTCCGAGCAGCGGACATCTAACCGGCTCGAGTGGCGCTTGTATCGAGCGCGCGGCTGCCGTCATACGAAGATGGTAAATGTCAGTGTGCCTACTGCGCCTGGCGATAAGCTCTCTGACGTAACAACTTGGCTGGACGATGCTGCACTTTACCGTAGATCAATAGAGCTCGCGATTCGATCGGATTAGCTAAGCGTTTCGTGTTGTAGTAACTGATTTTTGTCTCCAAAACGGGATCACGTGAAGGACGGTACTTGTTGACCGCCCTTAAACAGCGTCGTTGCGTTTGTTCAACAATAATAGAGACAGTTCGTTCACATTTGACTGCGAGCTTAGTTCAGTCATACAGTTCAGCTGCGTGCTGGTTTGCCTCGCTGTAGAGAATCAATGGAAGCAGCATTAGATGAAGAAAATTTAACTAACCATCAGGGTGACGAAAGCGACCTTCAACGGTGAACGGACATATTCAACGTGGATGTCTTGGCGTGCCGGCCAGTTGAGGCGACGATAATTGCTGACCACAAAACACAGCGTTGCACAGTTTCGTCTTGGCCCACCTAAAATCACACCGTGTACATACAGACACAGTAAGCCTTCCCTTGTTGCCGCGTTAGGCTGTGTCCTGCCTTTGTGCCTAGATTCCCAAACATAGGTACCCAACGACCGACAAAAGGAGCGATTAGAAACGGCCCGTCGAATGAACTTTGCATCTTGACGTGGTTGAAAATCGTTAAGGCCAAAGTTTTCGTTGAGTTTAAAATGTAGTTTTGTTGTTTTTCGTCAGGTAGGAACAGTTGATTCGACAAGAGTCCAGTAGAAAGCAGCAGTAATTAAACCTCGGGCACGCCATGTTTGTACATCCCATAATATTCATACGTTGGATAATGTTCCCTATGTTCGAAATCGAATGACTTCGATTGAAGAGGCGTCTTTGATTTGTTACGGGAACGACAAAGATTTAAAACTGTTTAAAGGGTCAAATATTACGTATTTTCAAAGAAGCAGAAGAGCGCTAGAAAAATCTGTTACAAACTGCTACACGTTAATTAAAAAAATACTGACTGCTAAAAGATTCTGTGCTCTGGCCGTATCCATACGTGCTAAGGAGGGTATGCACTTTAAAAATGGCATCAACCTATAGGTGGGGCAGCTGCTTCTTTTTTTGGCAAGTGGTCGGTATTCGTATTCGAAGATTCGAGCTTTTTGGAGTAATGGAAATCGACCTAAGACAAACACTGATCCAGAAGCTTGTTCCCTGAGTCAAATGCGCATAGATAACAAGTACCAAGTTCGTTTATTTTATTTTTATACGTATATTGCGCCTTGTAGGGCCCTCATCGTTTGTCAGTAAAGACTAAGCAATTGATTCTGGCCGTCGAGTTCACAGAGTCTGTGGCGAGTCTATTATAATTCAGCTTGAATAAATAATAATAATAACATTTTTATAGCTGGACTGTTCCCGTAAAATCTCTACGTAATTTAGGCCTATAACAGTATTATAAATCAAAACATGTACACTGTAATTAAGTCAAGTAGACTTGAGCCTTTTTCGCTAGTAAACGTACTCAAGCGAGGAAGTGTTCACGTTTGCCGGTATCAAGATCATTGTGGGAGCACCATTGGAAAGCTGCCGACTAAACGGACACAATAAAAGCATTCATTGATACATTAGATAGTGCGACATAGATCTGTATCTGTATAGCTAGTAATTTATATTGATCGATTTGCCGCTAGGTCAGACCTTAAGCGTGTCTTTTAGCATAAGACCTGATAACAGGATAGGTCTTAATATGCTTGATTAAAGAAAAGCATGACCCAACCGTTCGATAGCACGCAACGAATAGACCACATAAGTTGGAGGCGGCAGGTCAGATAACGGTCACGAGATTTATCCGTAACATAATATTATTTAGAAATACCTGTGTATATAACGAGCATCTATCATGAATACGCTGTGGTTTTAGCAGTGGTGACCTCGATCAGCTGCTATAAGTGAAAACATTCTGCGATACAATTTGGACGCGCTAAGTTTTCAAAAGCGACGTGTACGAGCCTGTACAAATTACAACCTGATAGGGATGTATTTACATGAATCGGAGTTGGGTAGAATGCGTCTAAATATAGAAGCCAGCGATGGAAGATCAATGAGAGTCCACCAGCCAGCTCTGCTGAACGATTAGGCCAGCGTTCTTCATTTCGTAGACATAAAATTTGCGATGACTTTTTGTTTTCGTGCTTGTTATGACTGTCACTATGTTTCGGTCCAAATTAAAAGCTAGAAGGGGGTAACTATTTCGACAGAAAGTTTCTATTACTGTGGCTTCAGTGATTTCACAAAACGGGTACCTATTGGCAATTACGAACGGTTACGTGATTCCATCGTTCTGTTTCGAATAACGTGCATGGTTTATAATGCGAGAAAGTACTACATTTAATTGAATTCTCTTTGCTTTATTTACCATATATATCTGCTGATATATATCTGCTGAGAGCAAAGATTTGAATAACTATTGTCGGCCTGAATTGGGCTTGTGTCCAATTACCGTGCCAATTGTTTTATTCGCGTTTTCTCGCTAGATAGAGTTTTTTTTTTTTTTTTTTCTTATTATTATCCCAAGTCGTAGAGATTACACAAACTCATAAGATATCGCTGCTGCAACAATCTATATGCCTTATTTCATTTAGTGTTAATGGCAACTGTTGAATACCGAAAGCGTATAATTACCCGCGCTACAATGTCGGCGGTCGATATGAGAGTATGGTAGAAAGTAGCATACTCGATTTATTAGCTCAAAAAACGTTTAACCTGATGGCCCACGCCAAATTCACTGGGATCGAAGGCCTGTTTGTAGAAAAAACAAATTCTATTCAGAAAATTATCACGAATGGATAGAGGCCGTATTGATTGAAACGGCGTCGTTGCACGAAAACGAGACCTTACATGAAAGAGTTCTCCCTACATTTAATAACTTTATCAGTCGACAGCTAATTTTGTGAAATGTACTTCGAACAGTGAAATGTACTGTGAAATGTACAACGAACGATACGACATACGCAAGTAATTTTTACGCGTATAAGATAGTGACGCTTTTGCATGTGGATGGAACAGAATTAAGAAGCACGCATTTGCCAAACGAGAATTTCAGTGAGCAACAACAATGTCTACAGCAGTAACTTATACGATACACGTAGCGAGGCTAATCAGAGTTACTAGTACGTACCCCATCCAACAGTTTTCCACATGGCCTGCGTCGCAATCAGGTATAGGCCGTAGATGGAAATAATGTGAAGGTAGCCCATGAGAATGACATTTCGCCAGACGAGCTTTATTCGATAATCATCAGCGGTGGCAAATTTCGCCCCTTTGACCCTTTGCTGCTTGTGTAGCTCTTCCTGTGTAACTGATTGTGTGATTGACATCTTCAACGATTACTTCTAGTACTAACAGAACACCACACTATAGTATGCAGCCAAATGTTTGCCTTCAGTCTATTCTATATGATGTTCTGAAGCGGGCGCGTTAAACAGGTGTCACTCCACCACCTCCACTCTTCGTCGTAGTTTGATTCAGCTTAAATCACTCAACTTCGTGCGTTCCAATGTAGGTTCCGGTGTCTAACGGAGATCACTACCTTTCTCCGCCGGCCGAAGCACACCGCCACAATCGCCAACGAGAACCAGAAAGTAGTACGGACGAAAAGTAAAGATAGGGAAAAACAAAGAAAAAAAGAACGTGAAACCTCCCGTTCCTGTCACACCTCACGCAGCCGTGAGTCGTATAAGTCCGGCAACACTCGCCGGCACTGAAGCAAAGCTGGTAGAGAAAAAGAGGAACTCTTGGGCGAAATTCGTTCGTTCGTCCGTTCGTTCGCCACTGGACATTAGTTGCTTCTTGACAGTGGCGGGTCTGCCTTGTTGCAAAAGCCAACGCCGCCGTTGTCGACAACAACAATAACGGCAGCAGTAGTAACAACAACAACAACAATAGCAACAATATCGAAGATGAAGGTTTGAAAATTTTAGCTACAACGAGCAGTAACTGCCGCAGGCACCGCTATCGACGTTACCGGTAATGCCACCACAAGAACAACAACAATAACAGCAGCAACAGCAACAGAAACAGAAACACGCGTCAGCGCGCAACCGAGAACGTCGACAACAACAAAAACAAGTTCACGAACAGCTAGACGAAGCGAATAGGAAGAGCCCGAACCGGCTGATTGGTTTACAGTTCGTTTGTCTGCTCGCTGACTCAGAGAACCGCGTACGACTGGCGTGGAATTAGATGCAGGCCGGATGGGCTCTGCCGTCCGCTTCGGTCTTTGAATGAAGGCGCTGACGTGCACTCCGTTCGGGCCTTGTATGCAAATGAAGCCGGCGGCGCTGGCGACGACGACTTTTGGGGCTGCTGCCGAGTGCCCAGCAGCGGTGGACTGACTGCGGCAGTTTGCGGTGGTCGTGGTCGTCGTGATGTGATGTGGAATGGTCGCGCTGCTGTTGATGCCGGTGGTGTGATGGTCTCACCCTCTAATTTTCTCATTTCTTCTCTACCACCGCCCGTTCGTCGTTGAGCGCCGCACTCGGCTCATGTCGTCTTGAGTCGGCCGGCGTCTCAGCCACCAGCAGCGGCAAATCAACCTGTCTGCCTGGTTAGCTGCCTGCGACGACGACGACGACAACGAGTCAGCGAGCTAGCAAGCAATAGGAACAGCAGCTCTAATGGATAAAACAGAGAAACCTGATTGAGAAAGGGCACAGCGTCCACCGACCGACCGACCGACCAATCGAGCGACCGACCGACCGACCGACCAATCGAGCGACCGACCGACCAATCGAGCGACCGACCGACCAATCGAGCGACCGACCGACCGACCGACCGACCGGCCGGCCGGCCGGCCGGCTGACAGAGCAGAGAGCTAGCCGGCTGGCCAGCATCTTTCGTTCGTCGCTGTCAGTGGCCGGGGCTGGCGCGGTGTTCAACTCTTACTTACGCCGCCGGCAACTCGAGCTAAGAGCGACGGCAGCAGCAGAGCGGCACAGTGCTTGCTCGTCGTAAACGTTACATTGTTTGTATCAACCGCCGTTGACGACTCCTTTCAGACGCTCGTTTCGCTGCCTTTCAATAAGACGCAGGCAAGCGAACGGGCAATGTCCTACTGGATGCTGCTCAAAAGAGTGTGGCAACAGCTGATTAAAAGAGGGCAGTGCTCGTCTGCGGCTGCTCTCGCATGCTGTCAAGCTGGACTGTGAGAGCGGTAGCTCTAGATAAATGTCTGCCTACCCAGATCCAGCCTTTCTCTCGCTCTTCTCGAAGTCTAGCCGCCACTTAATGCAGAGCCATCACTAGCTTATCCGCTGTGTTACTCACTAATGATGACCTCGGTGAAGTTGTTGATCATGGTTCACTGGTCAAGTGTTTGCCATTCAACCGTCGAAACAAGGGCGAGCTCTAAGTTCGAATCTGGGCGCAGACACGCGTTGTTGACACTATAAACATCCGACTAGAAATACGAGAGGCAATAAACTTAGTTGTAATTGCTTCTCCTGATTAGTACTCATATTGAAGCCCCTGCCACCCTGATAGGTTCTTGGAGCAATAGAAAATTACAGGTAAAGTTATCGAGGCTTGTCGTAGAAGAGACAACTGTGAGCTGTCAGCTATAAAAAAAATCTTGAGTGGTAGGAGCCAGTGTCTCGAAGTTCACTCGTTTAACCTGCGCCTGTTTCCCGAAAAAAAAATTCCGAATTATCGCACGGGGTAGTGCTGTTATTCGGTTCATCAGACAAACAGAAGCAACCTAGATCGACAGAACAAAACAATAAAATTGCGTTTCCAATGAAATACATTACTGCTACCTTGAATAATGTAACATTAATGGTATGACTATTTCTGGCCTCATCTGAGCTGTACTTTACAAAATTAAGTTTACAGTGTCGACAAGTTCTAAGCTATAAACTACCAAAGATATCAGATGGGGACTTTTCGTGCCCTAAGTTGTTTTTCTTACTGGAACGTGCACTTGGGCTTTCTTTCTGTTATCCTGCTATCGAAAGTAACAAAGATGCCAGCGGCTGTACGTGCTAAAGCGGCAAACAGGAATGGAAAAACTACTCATGGTACTGAATCTGAAGAACCTGAGGCTTGATCCACATCGAACACGAAAAAGGCCTGTTTGTGTTTGCGTATATTAGAGTAATCATTAAGTCATCGGCCGTTGTCAGCGCCGAAGAACGCAAGAAGTAAGGCCTATAAAATATGCAATCACTAGATGCACTGATATCTACATCGAGGTAAGATAATTCGTCGCTTGTCGAACAACCATAGGTAGCTTATCAGCAAAAGGATCTTGCGTTCCTTTTCTTCATTCTTGAGAAAGGTCGTTTCTAAGAAATCCGTTGTCATCACAGTCGCAACAAGCGGGGGGCTTACTGCCAGATGTTGCTGACGAAACGCAAGCTTCTAGCTCTCAAAAAGATATCACTAGACCATTGGCACCGATGAGGCCGTTGATTACCTAACTCTGTCAGGTCCTAAAAACCTTGATCGGTGTACTGCTCTTTGAAGGAGTCTATTCCACTGAGAAAACTAGCCGATGAACTTCGTGAAAGATACATAAGTTTTATGTGTGTATATATATATATATATATATATATATATATATATATATATATATATATATATATATCTTATCTCTAAGTCCAATAGAATTTCATTTTTTAATCTTAGTTGAAAAAAATTCAAGGGAAAATTCATTAGATTACATGTGTTCCTTTAACTTTATAGCGAACAAAAGAGGATATCGTAGTAGGCAAACATAGTTACCTATGCACAACAGAGGGATGCGAAGACTATAAAAACAAATGGCGGTGTGGACAATTTGTATTTTTCTTGAAAAAGCTGTTTTGGGGCATTGTATTGGTTTTTCAAGTTAATTCAATCTATTCGCACCCTAATCATTCTGCAATGATTTTACCAGAAATTTAAATAGAGCACTATGAAATTCTCTACGGCTGAGCAATTCAGTTCGATAAGCCACCCTTTAAATTGTTAGGCTGCTATTATATATTTATGAAATCGATTCAGCATTTTGTCAAGCTAGCCATATCGTTTACCCGTCACTTTATAGGCCGATGAAATCACATAACCGTGTCATGGTATTCCTAGTATCACTTTAAGCGTGGTCACGAAATGGAGTAGACAAGTGGCCCATAGGGACGGCCTGTCTGTAGGCTGGCGCTAAACAGTTTTATTTGTTTGATTTATGGACAAATTTTTAGTCGAATGTTAAAAAACAAATCTCGATTAGATTTACTCGTTAACGCATAAATCAATAGATAGAAGCAAGCTATCAATAAACCATTAGCTTCTATGCAAGCGTTTGGCGAACAAGCCTCTCTAAGGACTTATCGAACTGGTAGGCGTACAATATACAATTGATGACTAAATTAGGCGTAAACGAAGCGAGCAATTATGAGTATAACAACGGTTCTTTGATGATCTAGGGGCTTAATGAATGTATACATAAACCAAATTCAAGCTGATTCATGAAATACATGACAGAGGCCGATTCAGAGATAATACTCCGGAATTCCGATCTAAAACTTGAATTATGATGATCCAGTGTTATCTTCATGGTAAAATGCGCTCCTTGTTCAGTATGCTACAAAGTCATATAGTACGACCCGTTCGGCCAGCCGGTGGTCAGAAACCAGAAACGTTATTACGTTACCTAAAGAAACATTTTCGCTTAGCGACAGATATGGATAAAATGAGATAAAAATTTCATCAGCTGGATGTTTACAACGTAGAATCAATCATTTTGATGAAGCTCCTTTAAACAGTTAAGAGAGATGTGAAGCATAGCGGGCCTAAAAATCGGCCTGTGTAAGCCCTGCTTCCATGTTTGCCTGCGTTGTGTGAACAAACAGGTGGCGGTAAATATGATCTGTCCATTCAAAATTTGCTTTTTCGATAGCCGTACTTTCTTTTTTTGGCAGTTCTTTGAAGCGACAGCAGATAACGCGGGCCAGGGGCTTTGTCGCGCCCATAAAAACGTACATTGTACACGACTAGCTGTGTCGGTAGCGTATCACGGTAAAAATTCGATCTTAGCAATAAGTACAATATCATATTGGCCAGACAGTGATCAGAGTTGACAACGGCTAGTTAAGGTAAAGAAGAAATTTTGCAAACAAGTGCTCATGGAGTTTAAGCGAAACTTCCGTTCTGTCCTCGGGTAACACTCGAGTTAGATAGAAGCATAGAGATTGGAGCGGACTGGAAAATAAGTCAGGAAAGCAGTTGAAAAAAAGACGGTGATAATCAAAAACGTAGATTAAAAAGTGACTGTTCTTTTGCGCGAAACATTAAAATATCTAAAGAATACATAATGTTGCTGAAGGTGTCAAATAAATATCAATATATCAACTGGGGCGTTTCATAAATATAGCAGAAGAAAGGCCTTTTGTTTTGTTTATGTATCTGCTCTCAAGGTATAGAGTGTATAGCTCTAGAATATCACTTATCTACGGAAAGAAATCTCACTCACGTTACAGTTAAGTAGTTGTAAAAATATGGCGTTCTCTCTCTCTGAAATCGAATAGATTTCGAATTTTGACACACGACTATATATATATATTGACGATTACTTAAAGGCGTAATAATTAACCGTACGTGGTGCAGGTTTGACAACGAAGCTGCGACGGACCTGTAATGGCATTATGATTTCAAAGAATTGTATAAATACATCGGTGGAGATATCATCCGCCCATATCATCTTTGAGCTTACGTGTTACTCATTGTTACATTATTTTGGCGCCAAAATTTCAACGGCAGAACTGAAATCAATATTGTATACGATTAATGTTTACCATCCACTGGAATTATAGAGTACAGCGCCACGAGATCCAAACCATAGTACGTTGCTGGTCACCGTGAATTCGGATATTTATATATATATATATATATATATATATATAGACTTCAACAAGTGATGAACGTATCCAAAGGTCACTATGCTACTGCCTAGTAATAATTACGTATATTTTTAGATCGTCTGATGATCCTCAACTGTTCTATTCGCTGATTAATAAACCGTTTCATTAATAAAATTAGTTAGAAAATTTTTTCGTGTCTACTGATGCTACGGAGGCTGCCACCGACCTGTGTAAGATATGTCAATGGTAGCACTATATCGCACCTATGATGGCAGTTTGTATAAAAAGGAAACTATAATAATCCTAATCTTATCTAGTTGTAGTGGTAATCAGCGCCCCAAAATAATGTTAGAGCAACAAGTTGACCACTAAATATTTATTACGCGTTGTTCTAAAGTGGCAGCCATAACACAGGGCAGCATTTTAAAGATAAGACAAATAATAATTTCATGTGTAAAATCTTATCCGACCTCGCTACCTTGGTATCACTTGTCTCGTTCTACTTATCGGGACCCGATGTCCGATTTCAACGAAATATACATCGTTTCAAACAGGCGCGTTTGTTGAGTATGTCCTTCAGCCACAGAGCTCATGGCTTTACACTGTTACGGACTATTAGCCTGCTGCATTAGGTATGGTCGGCCCGCCTATCGAGCCTGAGGAACCGCTACAGAGCCGTGAAACAAAGAAGGCCGAATGAACCCCGCGAGGCTAGCAGAGCAGCCTCCGAGAGAAATATCGTTAGAAAAATATAACGGGCCGACATAGCTGGAAGGCGGTCCTCAACGTACTGGACGGTCAACGCCTTAACGACCATCCCGCTTACAGCCGAGCTCTGAGCAGTGAGTGATATCTGGGGTTTTAAATGGACACTTGTCCATTTGTCTTTTTTTTTTTTTATTTATTTATAATTTATTTATGTTTAGCGATCTGTACCTTTGCTAGGCCAGCACGAAACGTCTGTGGCAGGGGCAAACTGCAGGAGGAGCAGCAGTCATTCGAAGTCAGTATTTTCTATCGCATAACGTGACACATGACTGCACAAAGGTATGTCGCCTTCTTATCGTTAGGCTTTGTTTTTTTTCTCGCTGTGTCGTATAGCCTTTTCATCAATATTTTGTCACATGTTAGGCCCACACATTTAAACTTCGCCCTACACTGCCTAACAGTACTTTATGAAAACTCAGGCCAGATGGCCTATTCAGTTTGCTATTAACTTTCTTCTTCGCCTTAAGATGAGTTGTTTAGTCAAGAAAAGGCATTTTCTCCTCGAATTTTGTTGAATGACTGACTCCTTGCGAAAATCCGTACTGGTCCATGTGGCTCATCCGCTGATATTTATAGTCGCACTCTGTCAGGTCATATTGTCCAATGGTAAAGGTGCCTGTAATGGATATTTTCCCAAGAAGATTCACCGCCTTTTAGGCTATAGGACATAGGAGACCTTAAGCGAATACATTGGTATATTTTTCCTTCAACGGTTGACAATGCTTGTTCTTAATAGTAGTATTAAAGACCTTTCTGTCGACATACTCTCATCGCCTGAACTCGGGCAACTGGGTCAATATCCGACGGGATAACCGTTTCATTTCTCTACAAGTAGAATAATTGGCATACATCTTCAACACCTCAAATTCCATTCGACTGATGATTGATATCGCAAAACGGAAACCAAGCGAAGCGGCGAAATAAAACGTGAGTTACCAAGAATGACTTAGGAATCAGGGTTCGTCACAGCAGTAAATGAAGAAAAGTGACTTTTGAGTCTATAGAAATTTATTTGAGATAAAAAATCCAAACAAAGTACTTGAAAATCTATATAGGTCGAAGCTTTGTCTTTCGAGTTGCTATCTGGTAAAACCATATCGATGTAGATAGTGGCAATTGGTTTTATTTATGAGTTTAATGACCCTTCCTACAATTACTTCGTCATTGTACAACTTACGGTCACCAGCATAGGCATGCGTTATGTCAGAATTTTTCTCTTAACGAAGCGGATTCGTTCGCATACTAATAGCACCTAACTTGGGTAAATAATTCAAAAAGAAAGGTTCAAAATCGGACGTAAACACGTTTTCCTGTGTGTTAAGGCCCATTCGTCCGAAGCGATACTCAAGGGCACTGCCGGACGTATTAAACCGGAATATTCAGTTAGGGGGTAAAGGTAGATTTCTAAACTCCTATAAACAGGTCTCATTGTAAGTAATTATTTTTAATATTCTGTACTCGCTGTGCGTATTTCACACCATACGATTGTGCAGCTGCTGTTGTTATAACTTAGCCTTACAGAATAGAAATCAATTGAATAAAAGGCACGGTAGAAATTCGGCATAGACTTACCAGGAGAATTTAAGCACTCCGGAAAGCGGATACTATTATTAACGTTGGTTGCTGTTCGTATGGTTTCCCAACTGTTTTATGGGTCTATCTGAAGTTCAACAAGAGCTACTCCCACTAGTAGGAGGCAAGTCTTTCATGCTATAGTTGAAAAGACGCAATTCTAAAAGCTAGTCTACACAGAGGTAGTAGCTAACGATAATGCAATAAAGGAAGATTAAAAACAAAAAAGTGCTACTGTTGATTAGATAATGGTCACTGCTGTGCAAGCTGTACAGTACAAAACCGGAATTATTATGGGATTGTATAAAGTTAATTTTATAGCAAACATTCAGCAGTTTATCAACTCGCAAGGACATATTTATTTTGCAATTCGGATTTGCGAGATATTTAAAAAAAAAAATAAGGATAAATTGTAAATTTGTACTCACCGAATGAGCAAATAATCCAAAATTCAATTTGAATATATAGATAGAACCAGAAACAATTTGTCTTTGCCTGCGTTTGAGACCGCTTCAAAGACACTAATAGTAGTTTTGACAAGAGCGACATGCTTGTTTTTCATTCGAACCCCCCTTACGACAGGCTCCAAATTTAATCTTTTAAGCGAGATCAGGTGGACACGCCTATCAACCGGCAAGGCCGAGGCGGGCCACTATCGCAAAGGGCAGCTGACGATTCAGTAGGTCTTTTTACAGTATAGACAGCGGGGATTAAGTAGATGTTACATAAGGGTTGATTCAGAATGGTAGTTAGATATCGGACTGACGGTGAGAAATGTGAACCCATTTTTTTGTCGCTATTTGTCTTTATTACCGTGTCATCCTGTTAAATAATCGCAAACTACTATATGAGGCACAGCGGACCTCAGCAGACAATTTCAAATAGGAAGTAATGTGGGTTTGTCAATATATATGACCAAGTAATTTTTTCCAACGATTATCCTCCAGTACGCTACAATTTACCGTTGGACTAACTACCGTTAGGTATTATTTCAGTCACTTAACATTCAGCACGAGTCTCATGTATATTTCGGTTTCATTGCCAAACATGTTATCATCGCATTGTTACGGAGACAGCCCACTTGCCACTGGGTTTGTGTAGAGGATGCATATGCACATATAATTTTCTATTTACACGAATTGTATGGTATTGATCTGTCGTCGGCGGGACTTGAAGCAACGACCCGTGCTCTAATACAGGTGAAAGCGGATTTGTACAATATAAGGTTGTATAAACTGTGTCGCATATATTGCATGTAATGTCACTTTGATAAAAAGTAAATGCTGATCAAGCACACTCAATTCAATATTTAATAAATCAATTCCGTCTATAGTTAATTAAGAATTGAACCCATTGCGTCTTATTGACAGCCAATTCCATCTGCGTCGCCATCTATGTCTACAATCGGTTTATAGACTATTCTTTTTCCACGGATAACCTGGCCAGCGGCTACGTTGGGTGGTACCAAAGAAAAAAAACGTTTTTTCACCGAAAAAGAATTAAAAATTATCTTGTTCCAAGCTAATTATTTCAAGCTCTATTTATAATGCTATAAATATATATATATTTTTAGAGCTGTTGATGCACAATGAGCACATGATTGAGGTTGCAGTGATTCCCACGAGAGAACCTAATAAATTAGCATGATGTGAATTTATATTCTTCAAAATTTGAAGTTGTATGTAGAACTGCGTGAAGCATGCGAAAGCCAGGCTTCGATAGGGATAAAAAAACACACACACACACACACAATTGTGTGCATCAGGTTTCAGCCAAATCAGACAAAGTCTATTATTGTAACACCAACTAGAACGAGGTCGAGTGTGACGACGATGATGTTCGTTAAAAAAATTTACATCGCATCGCAACTGCTCTTCGACCTGAGAGCAAATATAAGGCGTTCTGCAAGGTTTTAAAGCCTGAGCTTCTGAAGTAGCTGAATTTTTGCCATACCAGATAGTACTGTATGATAGGTCTAATTGTACAAAGCATGAAGTATTAGATACAGATACAGTTGTTACAACTGTTTTTATAAAAAAGTTCGACAAGTCTAGCCTGCCGAGCGAGGTTCACGATAAAATGGCGTTTCCTTGCTGGTTTCTGTGAACAGTCGTTATCTCTCTGTGGTCGACACACCGAATAAAATCGATACGTCGAAAAATGAACAATTTTACTAGTTATTGAATTAGAGCCTTATAGGCTTCTTCTTATAATGGTTTCCAATAAATCGTTTCACAGAGACTACACAGTTTACAAGCGGACAGCATCTTCGTGGTTTCCTCAATGGATTTGAACAGGAGGGCAGTAAAGAGTAAGTAATGCGCAAGGACGACATGCAACGTCCATACAGTTACATCATTATATACATATATATAGATATGTTTGTAGTTAGTAATTAGTTACCGGCATGATTCACTGCTAGTATTGGTAACAATAGTAAACATACCTCTACGTGTGTACAGACGTCCATTTTCAAAATTACACTGTACGATGTGCAGCTAGCCTAGTTCGCCGTTGGCTATATAAATTTTAGATTAATTTGCACACCACAACAGTGGCTTATTATTAGAGTTCATGATTTGTTTTTTAGTAAGACGCCATTGAATTTGGCAAGCAAAGGACAAACTTTGCCAGTGTTAATTGTATTGTCTTTGTCCTTTGCCATCGTGTGCAAGCATTATCCACGTGGTGCCATCGGTGGCTGTAGGCGAAAGGGTGCCGAATTGCGGTTTGCCCGCCCCTTGTGGCTCGGATTCGTTCTCTGCACATCTCTTCACTGGTATTGACCATCACGATCAACCAAAAGTTTGTGTCGATGGAAAATAGTAAGTAACTGCTTTATAATGACCAAATTGATTAGTCTCTAGTAGACATAGATATTACTGATATATGTATATTTATCATAAAAAAAAAAGTTATTTCTCTTCCACTGTAGGATAGATCGTTAGTACCGCATCGATGTTATTGTCTGCAGTGTAGCCGTATCAGTTTGTTTAAGTCTTTTCAGCTAATTTGTTGATAAACGAAAACAAGGCATTCTTGTTTTCTACATGTTTAAATAGTAATTAGCGGTTAGTGAATCTCCAAAATTGTAGTGCTTATATAGTCCCGATGAAATTAAAATAATCGACCGAAAATGCTTAGAACTGTGACTCAATAGGGCATTTATTTAATTTTTTGCTGTTCTAATTTTTCTTTTTTTACATCTAAACTTATATATATATATTTATATATATATATATTATTAATATTAAAAATGAAATCAATAGTAAGTTTAACGAAAATCAACACCATGGCATAATCGTCTGTTCCCCCGAATTTTTCCAGCTGTCGGTGTATCTGACAAGTGATGTTTTCAGTGTTCTAGGTGATGGTCTAAATAATGGCGGCCGAGGAATAAATATGGTAGTCCTAGACACGGTCAGTAAACACCTACAGCAAGTCATCCGTTTCGATACCTATCAAGAAGGTAAAGATGATCTTGTAATAGCAAATTTATGACACCTATAAAAGCGATCTATTTTATCATCATCATTGTTTTTACATGATAGTTTTTTTTCGACATTGCAAGCCAACCAGTATGCGATATTATCAGTTGAACAAATACGCTACGCTCAAAATAATAACAGTAATTTGACTTAAGCATCCTTCTAGTCGTACTTGACTCAAGCGACGAATGGGCTTGAATAATATATTAAGGCTTTCTGTGGCTGTAAGCTAATTTCACTATTGAAAGTAAATGAAGTGTGGATATAGCGACCGAACTGGAGACGGTTATTGTTGTCATACGTGTAGATGCAAGATGATTTTATACGCGTTACCACGCTGCATGGTCTAACAATGTTTAAAGTAGTTCTTCGTTAAAAAAAAGTTTCAATTTCTGAGCTGATTCAATATAGTGAGCGATCCTTTTGTCGATCTCTCCGATACTTTGACATCTTAACAAAGACTTCCATAGAAACAATTTTTAGTAACAATTATATTACTTGCGGCATTTTTCTATTTGTCGACCTTATCACTCATACGTTTTACGCTTATGAAAAGGACCTTACACAGAGCAATTAACGAACGTGTCTATCTAAATTGAAGCCCTAAAGGCTGTCGACCCTTTATATGAGCCAACTATTAAGTTGTAATTTTATAACTTATAACTGTAAGTTTAATCATCTTTTCAGTTTACGCGTAACGATGTAACATTTCTGAAAGGTTAGCAAAAAACAGGCAATATGTTACGTATTTATACTGGCTAGATTTATTCAACTACGGTTGCCCACAGCCTACGAAATAACTTTCTAAACGCTTACTCTGTGGCAAATGGAAAAAACATAATATTCTGTTAAATAGGGGCTGTTTGATGTAGACCAGTACGCTTGTGCTCCGATAATGTCGGAAAAAACAGCAGGAAAAATCGGAAAACGTAAAGCTGCTATCGCGAAAAAACCTAACAATTTTGCTCCATGGCTTAGAACGTGATCCTAAAAGGTTCGCAAAAAGATGCAATTTCATATTCCCTACATAAAATGTGTGGGAGTTACCCATGAAAATTTGTATAACTATCGTAACAACGCATGGCAAATTCTGATCTATGATCATGCTTATCTCCAATATGGTACGTGCATCGACAACACTGTCTAATAAACAGCAATATATTGTCTAACTTGACATATATATAACACATTTTTACTAACAAAGTTGTATTCTGAAGTCACTCAGTTGAAGCTAAAGTTGTTCACCTAGCTTTTATGGCATAATCTTGCATTGTCTTTTATACAATTGCTAAAACACAGATTTTGACGGACCGTTGTAGCCTGAATGCCAAGTGGCGTCAACAGCTGTATGTTAACCTGATCTGTAACGACCTTATCTTGAAAAACACAAACTCTCTAGAGACATTGCAATTCAGGCTAATACGCAAGGCTTGCAGGCGGTGTAACATTCGTTGCCACATAGAGAAAAGCTTTCAACCAAACAAATTCTACATTTAGTGCCAGTTATCTTCCTTCTGGAGCGCTCGAGTTGTGTGTATATAACTACACGTTTTTTTCACCATTACATCGTTACATTCTGCCAGCGCAATGTAATTGAGCCAATTATATTGATGAAACGGCGCTAACGTCGAAGTGCAGTGGACTGAATCAACTCGTCTGTGTTTTCTCTTCAGATTCATCCCTTTTGGAATCGCTTCTGCTAAATCTCCGGGCTGGGGACATCGTTTTGCTAGTCACCTTTGACGAGCCTACAAAAAAGTGCGTCACGTATAAATAGATCAGTTTTTATCAGAAAATTTCTTGCTATTCAATTATTCATTACGCAACGTCCAATAATATTAACGGCAATATCATTTTGTTAAACCGAAAAAGTTTGCTATACCATCAAATAAAATTTTCTTTGCCTGTACACACCATAGAATACATTTTTTTCCTATTACAGGTTATCATCAGTAGCAAGACTTCTCTTCCACGAACTGGGTTCAGCGCTTTCTCAAAACCTTCTGCATTACCGTTCATCATGGTACCTTGTCACGCAAAAGGGCATTGACGGGTTCACGCCGTATGAAGATGTGAGTTGAGGCTACACACATAATTAATGCCTTGCACAAAAAACTATAACGTAAACTCATATAATTATCTAAAAGATTTAGCAAAAAATCATAATTTTTTTTACATAAAATATTTTCCTATGGTTTCTGTTAAAACTATTTTTTTAAGGCTCACTCAGTCGCTACCGTAAATTCTCACATATTGCTTTAGTTACAACTTGTAGAGCTCCAATAATTTGGTTACAAAATTATACATAAGTGTCGCATCTTGGAGTCTTAATTCTACAGGCGTCCCTTTTATAAGCACATGTATTGGCAATTTTATGCAGAAGCGAGCCAGCCGCCTTAAGCGATGCTTAATGGCAGTACTATATTTCAAATTCGTAACATTTGTTTAATATATTTCATTATAAAATTTGGATGTTATCGGGCGGGTTAAAGGTTATTATTTGTCAATAGTTGTTTTCGTTTCGTTCCTTACAGCTTCACACCGTCCTCTCAAAAGGCTGGCCACCCCCACACAATGTCCGACTTTGCATTCCCTTTAAAAGTAAGTAATGAGTACATTTGTTTCTTTTAAATAGAATCGTTACTTAACAGTATGTATTATTAATAACTTAATGGCCAAACTGATTCAATAAGCGAAACTGGCGTCTTTGAAATTGTGGATATATGCGATCAGCGTATGCTAAATGAATCATTTTTGTTTTTTTTTGTCATATCACGTTTACGCTGCAGCCGAAATTGCCCCTAATTAAAAGTTGTCTTTAATGTCTAAAAAAAACTTGTCTTTGTTTACGCCATCGGAATAACCAAGTTATCAATTAGAAATTGCTTGTAACAAGGATGAAAAGGATACGTAGTATTTGCTTTCTCGAGGCCCTAACTTTTCTTATGCTCATTTCATCATACCAGGCCTCTTCGCTACAGGAAAGTCGGTCGACACGTGCATACCTAAAAAAAATACGAACATTGCTAAATCTGTTCTTGAGCAATGTCAATAAGTTTTTCTTTTATTTTTTTTTCGAATATACTTGTAGTTTAATTATTTGGCTAAATTTATTGTCTACTTAAAGAACCTGTACTCTTGTATCTGTGAAACTTTTTAAACATTGCAGTAATAATAATAATAATAATTGAGCATGTTTAGCCAGTTACATAGCACGCAACTGCAATCACACGAAAACATTTCACAACATTATTGCTACATAATTACAGATTTTCGCCACGATTGAGCGTGTTCCTAGCTCTAAAAGGTCCTAAAAGTCTATAATTCGAGCATCATATATATTCGTACTTCGGCAATATAACCAGATGCGCCTAACAGATGGCAATTTGCAGTGGGCTTATTACTATATATCGTATTCGAATACAGTGCCTGAGACTAGTCAGACACATACTTTTCTATATTTTTTCATCCAGGTTTGGGATGAAGACATTACGTATATGTGACTGCAAAAACGATTTAAAATATTTTGCGTTGTTTTTATTTATAATCTCAGTTACGAAACCTAAGTTGAATGTTGGTTTGTTGTTGCTTTTGTCATGAACTGCGTTTCTGTATACGTGTTGCTATACAAATACAACGATGTGAAGGTATATGCATGTAGATCAGACTGAAGATTTCTAGTGGCTAAGAGAGAAAATTTTTGTTCGTCAGTCCATACAACCAACAGTTTCCATGTTCACAGCCAGCGGTTTCGCCCGCGGTCGGGTGCCGCGAAAATAAGCCGTACTTGGAAGGGCTTTCACGAAACGATCTCTCAAGCATTAGGTGTGCCAGCCTTTCTCAACGGACGCCGTTCGCGGACTGCACCGTCGGCACAGTCAGCCCGGACCCCATCGTCGCCACAATCGTTGGCAGTTTCTATCTCAAGGCTTCTCCGCACGTTGGCATCAATTTTAAGCTCACATTTCAAAAGAGTGGCCTTTAGTCAAATTTCGTCAGTTGTTGTTGTTGTTGTCTGCTCAATATCAGTAAAGTTGCCTGTGGTTTCCTGTCCTTTTTGGCGTTTCTCTGCAGCGCTCGACTGTGCATGAAGGAAGTTTAGCAGGCTGTCCATAGCTTGTTTAGATGAGATGATTGACGAACGTTCCATCGAGTTCCAGAAGAAACCCATCAACAAGCAGAATCCAATGCCAAGCGTGAGAGCTACACGTAGCATATGCAGTAGTATGAGGTACGTACTATGCTCTACATAAAGATCGATTGGGGTTGACGCGATGAGCAGCACAGCAAGGAGGCAGGCGATGCCTATGAAGAACATTCGGCTGGTTCGAAGCGTCGCCAGAGTCTTGTCCATGAGTCTTACACTATTCTCTAAACACGTGATTCGCAAATTGTAGCGATCGTCATTGAGGAAATTCACAAACACCATAGGATCGCTGCAGAAATCCATATTCGAATCGACATCGAGCCGCTTAACGATGCGTAGCACCGCAACGACAGGTTCATGGTCGGACACAGTGAAACCGGACTGCGTTTTCCACACCGGAGAGGCGTACTTTTCACAGTTAACGGAGACTCGATCAGTGCCGTTCGAATACATGATATAGTCAATCCGTTGGCCATTGGGATTAGTTTTAAGATCGGCCTTATTTGTAAACGAGTTCGCCGGATGTCCACAAGTGGCGCCTATAGAACTCTCGCCAAAATAGTGTTCCTTCTCCTCGAATGAGTCGCGAAGTCGTGAATTGTACAAGATGACCTGGTAAGGCAGATCCATCGGTTGCGTATTGAAATCACCGGCGATAATGGCATAGTCACAGCTGCCGAGAGATGTGTGTGAAACAAACTGAGAGAATTCAAAGGCTTGTGAAACCCGATGGTAAAGGTAAATATCCTGTAACCGATCATATTCGGCGTGCAGATGCGTCACGTAGAGATTGGCAATCATATCTCGATGCTGTACCTTCGCCATGCCGACCACCTTCCAGTTCGAGGGGCGCACAAAGGAAAACCATTTTTAGTGCAGTACATTCATTTCGACAATAAACTATTATCACTAAAAAGTGGTGGCAAGCAATAACGTGTTTGAAAGAAAAAACATTTGTTTTTCCATTACCGACATGTGCCTGTGAACAACGCAGAGAAACTGTTCTCGAGACGTATACCGATCGCAAAGTTTCTACCTTAAATCGGTCAGCAACTGGGTTACCCTAACAGTAACAGGGAAACACGAGTTAACAAAACCTCTCCGGCCGACCTCTAATGGACGGTTGCGCATCGAATCGCGGATTATTCGACGTCAGATAAAAGTGCTTGGATCGAAAACAGGCCCCATTATAGGAAAGCATGAAAATCATCAGCGGCTTATATATATTAAGAGATTAGATAACGTTATGTTAAATACCGTTAACAATACTTAGCACGACATGTGGTGATAATGTTCATTATGCAACATATATATATATATATATATATATATGCTGCATTGCAAATTGACATATAAACTTGGTTTTAAATATAAAGTGTTGGTTTATTAATATTAAATAAATGACTCTGCCGTTCGTAGGTCCTACCGTGAAAATCAAACTATAGGCCTCTGGCTTTCTCTGTTATACATGGGAAGAATAATGTATCTCATAGTCACATACCTTTCCACCAAACCAATCGCCATGGTAGAACTTGTGAGCATATCCGTTTAAGCTATATTTGTATGCGAAAATGTCAATTATTGGCCATTTCGATAAAATGCATACACCTGATCCTGTTACCCCCGAATAAAAGTAATGCGTATACGGCAAAACCAGCTTTGTCGCTTCGCAGATTTTTCGGTAGTCTGATTCACTCCATACTTCTTGTAGAAAGACATAGTCGAAGTCAGTTTCACGGAAAGCCAGTTGCTCTGCCAGAGCATCTACACGGTCTCGACGATGCTTTGAAACGAAGACTAGTCCCCATAGATTGAGCGAAAGAACTTTCACTTTCGTGAGCATCTCTTCTTGCGATCTGAAATTGTATAAGTATCATAAAATGAGCTTGGATCGCAAGTGTTCAAGTTGCACCTAAACATGTGCCAACTAGAGAACAGTTAGGTATCTATCTAGGATATCTAAGTATCTCTGGCTTCTCGTATAGAATGTTTCCCGTTCCTAGAAAATGCTGATTTATGTACATGCTAAAGGCAAGAAGGAGTTATAGCTTGGTACGTTTCCGTGCATTACGTAATATCGCGTAACTTCAAAACTAAATTCATTACTGTCTCATTACTGAAATTTTAGTGGTAAAGCACGAGAGGTCACCCCTTAACCCAGTTCGACACCTCACACTTGTGCGCTTTCATACGCAGCCCCAGAGGCAAAAGAGTCATGTATATTTCGCCTATCCTCACAGATGAGTCGATCAAGACTGTAATATCTTCGGTTATTATCATATTGGACCTAATTTATATAAGAGATTTGCGTCCCAGTAATGTTAGCAATTAATGGCCAACCGTCAGTGTGGGAAGACAGATATGTATATCTACGGCGAAGTGGCGAAATACAAAGCAATTAGTCGGGTGTTATGCTTATGATAACCTACGCTCGGTTCGCAGCAGCCGCGCCGAATTTCTGCGTATGCGTTCCCCCAAAAAGGTCAACGGTGTCCGAAAAGCTGTCGCCATCGCCATCTTTTAACAGAGACGAATGCATCCCTTTCAAGCCACCGTTGTGATTAGCTTTTAGCACAGCTCTCTACTCCAGTGCAACTATATTAGCAGTGTGCGCAAGCGTCGTCGAGTTCAATCATCATAAGATATAACGATAGAGAATACGGATCTCATGCGACGGAAGGGGAGCAATGTAAGCAAAAGTTCGAGATAACAAACCTGAAAACCATCACCAGTTTATATTCCATCAGAAAGAGCAGCCCATTAGTATATACTCGTGCACTATCTGTAACGTGTGATTGGGCTATACAGTGATAGGCATAGCCATAGGCGAAAGTTCTCCAGCATGCAAAAAATTCAAGCTCTAAAAATCTCGAGCGTTTCGAAAACTGAAGCTTTTTGTCTATCTGCCCTTACATTTTATCCGTTTTCTTTTGATATATGCGCGTGTCCGTTTTTTTTTGATATATGCGCGTGGCTTCGATGGCTGACAATAAACACTAACCTGCTGTTATTCCAGAGTGCAGCTGGACACAGATATGGGAAAAGTAGAAGTCCTATCGGCAAGTAAAAACAAAAAAATAAACTGAATGAGAAAACCTACTGTCGTAGATAGGTACTCTTGGCTGTAAAACTATTTCCATAACTTTCTACGACTTTTCATCTCTATGTACAACTCAATACTTTTAGGTTATCGACAATCTTGTGTGTTCTAGAACATATGCAATACAAATCTTTTCAGATACTGAAACATTCAGTCATGCTAAAGCAGATGGTTAATTTTTCGGATGGTCATCTTTGAAAACACCGAAAAATATATCTATATATTTCTATTGGAGTTCCACTTACAGATTGAAGAGCTGCCTCGAAGTTTAGCACATCAATTGGCAGGCAAACCTCACAAACGGCGGCATATGACCTGCAAAAACCATAAAAACAAAATCGATTAAACAAGTCAAATGTAATTATCTATATATATATATATATATATAAATAATCAAATGTATACATAGCCGTAATAGTAACAGAAGTATAATTAATATCAATTTGACGCTTGCCTATGTAATCTTATTATTTATCTAACTTGATCAAAATCGAAATTATTTTGAACGAGTTTTTAATTTACTGAGTCTTTCTAACTATCTGATTTGCTCATGCGTCATTCTCGACCACCATATGATGTTTACCTGATAATAGGGCCACAATTACTATGTCCTACTAGCTGAATGCCTAATCACCTATATATACACAAGATCAAATAGCAAATCGAACCTACAACAACAAGTATCCCCGTACTTATACGGAAAAAAAATGACGGAAACTATCGCAACGGATTAAACCAGCATCGTTCTGATAAAATCAAAGAACCATCAATTTTTACCAGAGATGCGATATTTGGTTATGTGCTGATAAGGTCGAGGTGACCTGAGACAATAGTTGCGTTCACGTTTTAATCAGTAAGTATTCTCTCTCTGAGTGAAATAGTCTAGAGTCATATGAATAAAGACAAATCGGAACATTTGCACCCTCTTCTAAATTCTCTACCTAGGTTTTCTACTTTTGTGGCGCTTTCAATTAAAAAACTAATGGTAAGGCCTAATAGGTTAAATAATAAATAGGAATATGCACACTGTAGCATCGACATATTTTAAATATTTTGTCCTGTAGTCGTTATAAAGCATTATCAAGCTAATTTCAATAACCCATACGTACTCCAAACTTTGCTTTATAACAATATAATTTGCAGTATCCTGATTTGGAGAATTCTCCTAGCTTTAGGACCTTCTCCTAAACCGGGAACTGTAACGCCAGCCAATACAAATGGCGCGATGTATACAAATATTTCCGTCAACGACCGACGTTCAGATTTCCCATATAACCACTAAGAACACTGTGTGATGATTTTTGAAAGAATTATAACAACTGTCAAGTCTGTGTAAGTCCGCCATTTTGGTTTTTCACTCCAATGTAACTATTTAATTCTCAAACTGTATATTAATGATATCTATTAAAAATTGGCTTCGCTGTCGCACATAAATGGATCGCTGTCAACTAACAACTATAGGACAACGCTTCAGAAATGATTCAATCATAGCCACACTGACGTTAACATAAAAAGAGCCCTGCTTACATAGATTAGATGAGTATCAAGTACAATGACACAAATATCTTCATTAAACAGCATACGGTAATATATGATCATTAATCCGACCGCTAACCTTTACTTCTGATGCCTTTCAATACAATTGATTGATATTGTGAGGGCAAAAGGCCACTCGGCTAATTCTTTCAGGCACTAAAAAAGAAAGCTACTTCTACTCAGAGCTGTCTGAAGAACAGCAAAAACACTGACTTGTCTTGACCAAGAGAGGCAAGCTATAATCAGATCCAATCGTGTATCAAGTGGTTATCGACGATCCTTTCCTCTTAGTAAACGATCAAATGTTAACAGGCCAATCAATAAAGGTACTTAGAGAAAGTAGCTAAGAGGTTATTGGGTAGGATAACGATAAACGAGTGCAGCGGTTCAGGGTAGTTACTTAAAATGGTACGTTGATTTATCAGTGGATTAGGGGGTGGTTCAAAAGTAGGTTACTATAACGTGTGTATTTCGAAAAAGCTCAACAAAATAGCAGGCCCGGTTTTCGAATATAGCATTCTGATCGGAAGGGTGTACTTGGCGCTGACAGTTTTGCTAAGTTAAGGACCATTAAAAACATCGTTCCATACAAATATATATATATATATATATATATATATATATATATATATATATAACCCAAACAGATAATGTATAAGCTTCGTCATGATTTCGGCACACAGTCGATTAATTACCGAAGAATATATTTCAAATAGTAAGCGATTTTCAATTGTCATTGATTCGCTATTGCCAACCTTTTAATTCGCTCTGATCTTACCGAAACCCCTACATATCATATTTCTAATTTATATACACGTGTCTCGAGAAGTTCCGAATTCATGGACATTAACGTGTTCGATCATACACATAATGAAAATAGGTGGTAATCAATCACATATATGCCATAAACGGCTTATTCGCAGCATAAACCAACAATCTAAATACTATTAATACACACAAAAAAACAGCTAAATACTATTAATCGCACGCATAACAGCCCTTATAAGCTCAGATGGGTTGAACCATAGTGCCTACGATCCGGCTCGTATCGATCTGTTTACAAAGCGCCAGGGGGCGCCTGTAGCAGCGAATTATCTGCCAGCTTCCCGTAATTGGACCTGTCTGATTGGCGAAAACGGTTGGTGGCGTATTTGCCCGTGCCCTTACCGCGGATGTGGCATTATGACATTAATATATTTATATGTATAACGTCCGCGAAATGATGCAGCAGAGATTGGTCTGAGTGCCTTTGTTGTAGATTCTTTATGTTTATCATGAACATTCTGCCGCTATAGGAGCCCTGCCAAATTTTTCTAACTATATGTGGCTTCCACATAGGAGAGTGGATCGAGACACGAGGTTATATGGACAAAACGACAGAGTCTGCAAGTATTCACTGGCAATACAAGAATATCGCACAGACTTGAAATTTCCCAAGGAATTCAAACTGTCAGTAAATCAGTTATAGCAAATGAGCAAGCTAAATGTTTATGTTTACTAGCCTTTTAATATGCACCTAGTGTCTTATTAAAATATTGTACACCATATAAGGGCTGCCTTAAAAGGATGTGACATAATAAAAACCCACCTTACCTTCTTAATGGTGAGCGAGTACTTATTTACATAGAAGAACTTAATTAATTCTCGATTATAAGAAGAAATTTTCTGCTTTTTTACTTACTCTACTAATCATATATAATGTGGCTCTAAATCGAGAACCGCCATACAGTCTGCTCTTATTTTTTGAAGCGAAGGTACGATAAAATACGTTTGAAGGTCATTTGCCTTGCAATGGCAAAGTTAGCTAACTGACGCCGTCAGTGCGTACGCAGCACTTGGTACACAGAGATGGCTATAGTCGCACTGTTGCCTCAGCGAGTAAAAGCTTTCAATTAAAATGCAAACAAGCGAATATTATGCTTTCATAGCTGCTTGACAAATGCCATAGTCAAATGCAAAAAAAAGATATTCACTACAGCAGACTTTTGGCACTACAATGAAAATCTTCCCGAATGTTTTGCAGTTAAACGTGTTTACCTCAAATGTTTAAAGCGTTTCATACTAAACTTATCGTGTCTAATAACTGCTCCTAGATGAAGCCAACACAGTTCAAGCTATCACTATCCAGGGATTTAAATACCATTTTTGAGTGCGTGAACGGCAGACGTCAACATTCACTTTTATACTGCACATTCACATAGAAGACTATGGAAGCTCATAAAGCTGCTAGATTAAAAAAGCCAACACAGAGTAACTCGGAGTCAACTTTGAAACCTCCTTACTGGTCGTACTCAGACAAACAGTTCGGGCCGTTGTATGATTTCAATCCACTTCACCTGATTTAGCATCGTTGCAAGCCAATACTGCATGGCCAAACGGACATTACGACTAACTCCACCGTTGGCTCGGCCGAAGAGCGATCCTGTTCAATCTTTAAAACGATTCCTGAACTGTTATAGGCAGGTAAATTACGAGCAACCGCTGCTGTGAAGCTATACCTCAATAAGAACTCCCCTTGGTGTCCTGGTGAGTAAATGTGATCTCGGTCATTAAGTTTCGATAAAAACAAGCCCACTGCAGGACACTATTTTAATCTAAAAGGTTTTGGAGAATTAGCTAAACAATGTGCTAGACAATTTATATTTTTCATCTAAGTGTATTATATCCATACGTATATAGCTTCCGCAGTGAATGGAGCAAAACTACAATGACAATCAAAAGCATGTAATGAGAAATGCTAAATGTTGTTATTATTTAAACCATTATTGGCCCTCTTTACAAAGCTTTATATCGATAAAATTAATACAAATTTTAGCAACGTTTATGAAAAACGGTAGATATTTTCACATCACACAAACAAGCCCCTTGCACCTGGTTTGCGAGAAATCATGCAATCGAGGCTCAATGAATGCATACAGCTCCTTCCTAGGAGGCGATCGTGAGTGCTAAATAAGCGGCTGGTCCATCTCTCGAAATGTGTGAATTACAAACGGCGCCTAATAGCGAATGCCTATCGTGTCAGCGTATATTATATTGCTGTCTGAAATGAGCATTACATCGAAAATACGCTTACACGATTTATACGCTGTTTTCGTGGATTTTGTGCGTCATTCGACATTGTGCTACGAACCTTTGTATCGGACGCACCCGCAAAATTAGCTGTGCCGTTTGCAGTATTTGGTTTACTACAAGTAAATCCATAATTGAAAGTTGGAACAGTTGCTGACGGCGTCGTTTAGGGGCCCAAATTTCGTAATTGATCACGCAGAAAGCGATAATATAAGTCTGCTTTGATTTTTAAGCCTCCGAGTACGGCACGACTTTTCCGAAAACGACTAACGACGCGCAGATTCACCTAGATATTCTTTTTTTTTTTTGCCCCCAAAGGTTTCGTTAGTTTTTAGCCGCACTCATTTCCATTTCTTCAAAATCCAGTGAAACAGCTGGGGCTACTAGTTAACTCTACTATTTCTACAACAGTTAACCATCGTACAGGAACTTGTAATTAGAGGTACGTCACTGCTATTTGTAAAACAACAATAGCGCACTGCGGGACAAAGACTTACCGTCTAGCGCCTATTGGCGTACCCTGTCACCAAATGCAGAGAGCTTATTTCTATAAACGCATTCAACTACCACCGAAACCGACCTAACTCAGATGCGCCTCATGTCAAAGCTGGCTGGTTTACATCCACTAGAAACCTCTTGCTATCGAACCCAATCAATAACAAACATTTCAGCCTTCCGAAAATAGCGGTACATGAAACAGTCTTCGTTGCTTATTTGGTGAAAATGCCTATTTCTTTACTACTGATTTATGGGGTATTTCCTAAAAACAGCCGTGTACAAGAATCGTCACATGCTATCAGTATCTATAATGTGTGAGTCGAACGGCACTTGTCGACGTGTTTTAAATGAAGCTAAGTTAGCACAATAATCATTACAACTGCAAGTAGAGCATAAGAACAAGGGAACGTATTATTAAATGTTTATTTTGTCAAGTTTCGTGTATACTATTCTGTGAAGGTGTCAAACCACAAATTAGAACATATATCACCGGGCACTCGATGCTTGAAGAAAAGCACTTATTCCAGCGACAAACGTCGAATACCTGTTTATTTTTAGCTGAACGAAAATCTCGAAAGGAAATACTTCGACAAAATAAAAACACTCTATATACGCCTACGCTGAAGCCATTTCCCAATTGATTGTAACAGTTAAGTAATCATAAACGATTTCGCAAACAAACTGCAGATGTTACGCCGTGTAAGCCGGCTTTGTTGTACACAAGAGTTACGTAAGAGAGCTGACTAGTAGCGCATCAGCTGTGAAACAAAGGTACAGCCTGAGACAGCCGTCACGGTCAACGTGCCACTCTTGCTGTGGCAGTCAAATTGAAAACAAGTATTCGCTCATTGTCGATACATAGAGCATATCGGCCCAAACAACTACACAAACCAATACATAACCCTTCACAAGTTGGCAATCTAAGAAGTCACGACAGGAGTCACGTGTACGCTATGTATAAATAAACCTTTCGTGTACTATATGGCATATAGTGTCAGCGGATTCAAAAGTCTCCGACGCGGCACTGCACCAAATTTTCTTATGACTAGGCTCTTATGACCAAAAAACTTATGACTAAGTTAAGTTCGCCATGTTTTGCTGGAAGACAGCTAAATAATAATTTGTTATTCAATTATTCTCCTGTTTATTTGATTTCGAAGTCAGCAACTTAATTCAAAACCTGCTCAAACTCTATAGAGCGATAACAAATTTTTCATGTGTGTCGGATACCTGTGTGTTTCCCTTTATCTTTACTCACCTAGAATATAATAGATATTTTGATTGTTTTCGGCGACACTAACAGCGCAGCTCTGGTTCGTTTTTTAGATGATTATACCATACCCGAATTTTGTTTCATTTGGCATAGGCACTTGCTTCATTAAACGGGCCACTGGCACCGACCGTTGTACAACGACACCGCATCTAGTCACCACATTGACATAGTCCGATAAATTAGCTGTTCTTGTCGATGGGCAAGACAACACAACGAAGCCGACCAACGGGTTTGTGTGCTCCCCAGCTGATCGCAACGGGAGAGAACAGTCAATGGGTCATCACTTCGATGATCTTGCCTGGCTGTCCAGCTTTTAGGCGCTTGGCTCGCAAGCAGAGCAGCACAAGTAGAACTTCACCGAAGGACGAAAAATCGGGGTTACGTAAGAATAGCCGAAGGAATTGTCCACTGAGTAACACTACAGGTTTATTTAAAATTGTCAAAGTGAGTTATTAATATTTCCTGAAAATTCCGCCTGTTCCCAAGCATTATGGAGGTGATTACGACTTAATAGCGTCTCAAAAACTGTAATCTAAGTAATAAAAACTTCATTTGATCAACATGTAAATAGCAAATGGCATTAAGTGTATGGCTTCGCTGCAGAAATGAGATAAACAGTTAATTTGGTGCTATGGCCATTTTTGGTTGATCGAGATGTAGGATTTACCTTTGAAGTGTCCTTTAGAGTATGTTCAAAGTAAAGCAAAAGTCCATCGATGTCAGGTTTAAGTAAAAGGCAGAGTATTCTATGGGACCCCTTCATCCAACAAGATACTCATTAAAATGTTCATTGGTTCTCCGTTTTCAACAAAATTCTCCTTGCAACAGTTACTGCACTGTTAAAAAAGAACCATATTATGCCAGTGTCTAAATTTACTGCGTAAAATTCACTCAATAAATGCAGCTACGTAGAATAAGTGTGCCATTTTAGCTAGCATATACAGTTGCCTCTTCGAAAAGTTTCATCCGAAATGTGCCATTTCCCAAGTACATTTAGAAAACTTGTGTTCTTCGGTCCGTATTAGGTGCCGTTGTTCGAATTTTTCTTTTATAATGCCTTAAAATGCGATGGCTATTTGAGATGTGCATGCCTAGTCTTTATTGCCTTAGAGACTTTTTGGATGTTCCGTGCTTCCAATAGCATTTTAAAATAAAAGCTTAGTCTTAGTTGTTTTCAATTGAACACATATTAGAACGAAAGAACAATCAAAAAGTTGCAAAAATCACGTATACTTTGAGACTCACTGTACAAGCAAGAGAAATCTGATTCTTTTCAAAAAAACCTTGAAACCCTTATGTTATTAATATTGTTTTTAAGGAATTAAAGTACACAACATTACGCTTTGCATAGTACAATCAGTGCTAAACTAGCGTCAAACAGCCATCCTTTTGAATATTTTGAATTTATGTGACAACAATTATTTTCTTTCGCGTATCAAGGCTAAATTATAAAAGGAAGGTCTAAAAAAAGAGCTTTTCTCCATTTAAAGAATGTCTCATTAATTTTTTTCGTCATTCATTGAATCAATGGTACCAGTACAAATAGTGACCTTGAAAACTCTGTAGTGGTGAACAATGCCATTTTGGTTATGCGTTATTTATTCGTCATCTATGTGGTATTATTAAGTAGTTTGGGAGGTTCTAATCTCAACTTGGGAGCTATCGCACAGGCTTTCGTCTTGGATAAATAGTCGCAAATGCTGCATACTTTCCGAATTAGCGATAAAATATTTTTAGCCATTTTAATCATATTATGATTAAAATGAAGAAAAGCAACTGTGAATTAGTAGAGCGGAACTTAAGATTAGCGTCTCGTTCGAAGATCCTATTCTATATTCTATAGCACACATAAACGCTATTCGATTGTCGGCCACTGTCAGATGATGGTGGTGAATAAAGTTAAGGAGGATCACACATGTTAGATGTTCATTGACAGATAAACTTAATAGCGAGTAAATATGCGTCTCGTAAATCTTTGGACTCGCTAAACTGAACAACTACAGCACTTAAATTTTCCACATATTCTATTAGCTATTACTGAACTCAAAATGCAATTATTAACGTTTTTATTTAACTAGAAGTGAGAAAAAAGTGTCCTAAAACAACGGTGTTAATTGTTATTTTGTTAACGATTTGTGTTTTCACTTATCCCTTATTATATTGTTATCTTACCTTGAGAGCTAAGAGATATCCTTAGCAGATGTCTCTAAAGCCTACTCAAGAGCAGGACTAGTAAGGATATGCAAAGAAAAAAATGTAGCGCATGTTTTTATTTAGTTGTTTAAAAATTGACACAATTTTTTCATAGGTTTAAGAAAAGGAAATTTTTCAACTTGGAGAAGAGTCCTTTTCAGCTTGTAGATGATGCTGTGCTGCTGAAGAGAATCTTCTTTGATATTTGCTTGTATATACGTAGTCCAGTTGTTACTTAAGGTATACTATAAACAGCTGAAGAATTTCCATTTTCATTCCATTGAATTCCATTCCAGGGTTTATTCTCCCAGGCTGACAGGTTATGATGTGACCGCTGCGTCATTTGAAAAATTACAATCCTCATATTCACTATGAAGAGGACTATAGCGCTACTTCGCCTGACCATAGCGTCATTCTTAAAATCTCCCTTGGTTGGTCAGGGATAGACATACAAGCGAGACCTCTGATAATAATACTTCAAGTTTACAAATCAGTTTGGAGTAAGAGGAATCGACATAATGCTATTTTCACGAATCTTTGTAGTTGAAGGTATGCCAGTTCATCCTGATCCGTCTCAGCACGACAACACGGATCGAGCAGCCTTCTGTCATAGACACGCTAATGTTCTGCCTACTTTCTGCACAGGGGATTCAAAACCTGCACAACATATTTTCCAGGTAAGACATAGAAACTACTCACCTCGTTAACATAATTGTCGCTTCCTTTTTTTTTTCGTATAAAAGCATTATGAATTTCCAAATTCGCTTGTTATGATCATCATGCTTATCTTACTTATTTGTAGTATGGCAAAATATGGTGTGCTGAACGGGCCTTTAATTTTAGTTCTTGTATTTCCCAAGTGTTTTCCAAATTATATAACACTCCTAAGAAAAACAGACAAGAATTAACAAAGCTAAACAAAATTATTTTTGAGTTAATTGGAAAAGCAGCTACTTAACTTGTCTTTACAGCCCAAGGTTCCGGAAAACAAGCTGTCATCATCACCGATCATCGTAGTTTCGGGTCCCCAGAGCCGATTTTTACCGCAGACGCTCGACACTTTGGCATTGCAGAGCGGACTTGTTCGAGAGAACGTATTGGTAGGCGCTATTGCTATGGTTTTATATATTAAGACAAGAATTTAATGGCACATTACAAGTAGTGATTAAGAGAATATCGTTTATTTATGTTTATGAACATTTATTGTATTGGAAAGCATTTGCTCTTTAGACCAAAACTAATGTTTATGCTAGGTAACATTATATGAATGTTGACTAGCAAAATGCAGAATACTGCACTGGAGTTAGATGTCTTATTGACGACTAAAGCAGAAGCCCTTTTTAAAGAACAAAGACCTATTGCCTGTTTTACTCCCTAACCTAAGCCAAGGTTTAATTTACTAGTTGCAAATGTTTGCTTTAACAGAAATAAACACAAACCAAATATGGAGCTATAACTTTACTTGGCGTTTGTTTCTGTATTACAATAATTTTCCAGGTTTTCCACGAGACCGACGACCTAAAAGCGCAGGACCTTTGCGAGTTGTTCAATTTTTCGTGTCAGCTCCTTCAAAGTGATTTGTCTGGGGGTCATTGTGGTATGTGAAAAAAGGATTCTTTAGCAGACTGTCTATTTGCTAATTAGTATTGTCCAATGGACCTGAAAAATAACGATACCTCACAAAAATCATATCGTGAAGTCCCTTTGACAAATCTTGACTAATTTTAAAGGACTCATTTATGTTTTAGCAAGGACTGAAACTTCTTAAGTCTACTGGAGCCGCTGAAGCCTCTGCGCCCCTGGCATAAATAAACAAAATAAAGAGAATAAAAAAAAAATAAAAGAGGATTAGCTTTCTTGAGTAAACTCTAACCTGCAAGGAAAATCCAACTAATATATTAATTCACAATCTTTCCGTTGTTGTATCGTTGATTTCCCTGGATCAATGAAGAACTGTTGGGGCAAGCGATGGATACTACAGAAACGATATATCCTGATGCGGTAAGGCTGCTAAGATCGAATCAAAATTGTAAAGAAGCATCATATTCCTTGATCATCGATTCATAAAAAATAGGCGCGTACTTAAATTGTTCTATGTAAGTTAAATCTACTGCTAACAAATCATTTTGTAGCAGTCTCTTTTTTGTAACTTCCGTATGCTTATCCAATTTTAGCCCTACATGACGATTATCGAGCCGGATGTTCTCTTGGGGTCGGATTTTCTATCATATGCTTCAGCGATGGCGTCGCTCCTTGATGTGGATTCTACCATTGGCAGTGTGTCTGGATTTAACCCTGATGGAAGTAATCTCCTCTCTAAGGATCCATCTCAAGCGTATAGGTCTGTACCACGATTTCGACGCATGATCAAGATTTGCCCTCGATTATTGACAAATGTTTAGACCTGACCAATAACTTTGGTTAAACAACAAATGTTTTCCGATTCAGCAGTTTCTACACACAACCTCAGTAATAAAAAAAAGCGATTTTTCAAAGCATTTCATCAGATATAAGCTTTAAGTGATACAGTTACATACTATTATTATTGTTCACGTTATTATTAGAACGACAAGTAAGAACTCTTACGAACTTTGTAAGTTCGTGAAAGTACGACGCTGCTGAAATTTTAACACCTTGAAAATTACCTATCACTGTTTACATCTTAACCTCTACATATTTCGCATGCATAGCAATTAACCGCAGTGTATTACAAAACAAAATAGTTTATTCATTATTTTTTAGTAAAAACGTAGAAACACATGAAGTTCAAATATACAATGTATAAATACTATTCACTTCTTTTTATTATCTGTAAAATAAGCCCTTCTCGTTATAATTATCATTTACATTTTTTTGGTAGCAAGATCGCACCGTTTGTCCTTTAATTAAAAATAGAGTATTTCCAGGCTTACATGCCACTTTTGGAGTATTCCTCCCGATCGTATCAATGCATGCCAAGAGTTTTTTTAAAACGCCTTGTCATTGTGGCTATCAATTCGTTGAGAATAGGCTGTTCGGAGACGAGATCCAAAAAATTTTCCACGGGAGGCTCACTTCGGATACCTTTAGCAACAAAAAGAAAAAAGATGGCAGACGTTGTTTTTTTTAAATTAAATGCTTATTTTTTTGAAAGTGTTTATTTTAAATTAGAATCCCATAATTAAAAAGTGGCAGCTTGTTTTTCGACCTACTGGTTGCTGTAGGAAAAATTGCTGATGACAAAATTGAGAGCTAAAAAGCTGATTATCAAAACATGATTAAATTAATCCGTTTTTGCCATTACGAAACAAGAACTATATATTATTATTCCCAAATGATACCGACCCTTAAAAGAGTTGTTCTCCTCGTCACACGAAATCTCGAACCAAGCTGTTTGAGAATTAATTTTAATCTCTATTCGAGCTACTCCAGGTTCCGGAACAGTCACAATGGGGCCTAATTATAATAAAAAATTTACCAATGTAATTGTAACATAAATAGTAATTAACAGTATATATGAAATTAGCTTTTTGAAGAAGTTTTTTTGATTTGATAAAATAAAAGTGCCAGCGTTTGGCAGTCTATATTTATTTAAGATTATCTATTTAAACGTCTAGTAAACCTTTACGGATATGATCGTTTCGTAAAGGTTTCGTGGCTATGTAAGAAAGTCAATCATCAGCAGCATCATCAAATTTATTTAAAAAGATTTTGTAAAATTTTTAATCTATATTAGAGAAACTATCCTTGCTAATTCTCGTTCTAAACACTTTTTTTGTACGGATTTTATAAGCCACACGAAAATAGCTCAACCTACTCATCGATATAATCGTATTCAGCGTAAGACCGAGATCATTATCAAAGATTAGCTTATCGCAAACACATACTACGATAATACTTAATAACAAAAAATAATAGTCTCCTAGTTTATTCTGAGCTTAACAGTAAACTCGTTATTATCTCGTTGACGAACTTGGTCACTAGATTGGATCAGAAAACTACGTACTTTCATCTGAGTCCAGCTCCTTGATACGGCTCACGGCTAATTCTAGTCTAGCTTGAATTTCGCAAACGTCTTCTTCTATGGCAGCCTTCGTGGCTATGAATTCGTTATGTTTATTTATATCTGCAACAGCCAAATGCGTAAATAACTCCGGAATAATTATCTTGGTTACACGTTCGTTAATGCACAATTTTCGTAGAGGCTCGTGCTTTTGCATTTGCTTTTCGTCTAAACTTACGGAAAACAAATTTGCTAACGCAGCATACATGTGAAGTCTAATAGATCAGTAACTAATCATTTAAGAAACTATCCTTCTTTACCAGCTATATACACTACTACAAAGAGGGATCTCTAACGATCGATAGCATAGAACATTAGTAGAAGGATATATTGTAATGTCAGCTTTTTTTCATTAAACGCATTGAACATTAATTTCAGTAGTTACCAGATGAAGACATTTTAGTGATTCCTGAAAATCTTGTTTCTACGCTTTCCTTAAATTGACTGCGCAAAGAGCCTACTGGATTACTTTGGTGTCTCGGATAGGTTGAACATTCTACCTAGTTTCATCAGAGGCCGTTGTTTTTTTTCGTAAAAATATCTTTTTATGTAATTTCGTGATATCGATGATAAAAGGTAGCGTCGGGGACTCTAAACCAATATCCGGTTATAATTTAATTAGGCACATACAAAGTGATTCGTAATTAACTTGTTAATGAAGTAAGTTATTACACTTTAGTGGAGCGAGGTCAAATTTACGTTTCACCTAGTAACGACATCTTACCTGTTATTAGAGACATTTTTTCCTTTAACCTCGTGAGGAACTTGTCCAGAGATTCCACTGAAATCACAAAGAAATTTTCAACGAAAACCTACCTCATAAATTTATTTGAGGGGTTGAAAATCCGCATGAGAAACCCCGAATGCGTCCATTCAATCAATAAGTATAATTAATTAGATATATATAGGCTCTAAATCTCATGTAGGCTGCAAAATAACAAGGTAGTTAGCGTTTTACGGTCCATATGTGAATCTGTACATTTACATACCGTATTACCGTTTTTATTATGGACTACCTTACCCCACCCAGAGTTGTTGGATTATAGATGTACTTCAACTGAACCAAGACAAAACGAAAAAGTCTTAAAGAGGTAAATCTACTCTTTCAAAAAATATTTGAATCATTAAAGCAGTTGACAAATCTAAGAGGGCTTTTGGAGCCCACCGTACTGTTTTGGATATTACAAAACACTTAATCTTATAGCCCCATTGTAGATTTTCTTAATATATTTCCACCTCGCTCGATCATATCGTAAAGCCGTCAACTACAGTACGCACAGTTAACGTTAAGAGGATCCATTTTTGGAGGTACGTGCTCGCATTGAGGTTTGATTTCAGCAATTGCCGGTCGAATGGTGTTCACGACGAATTCGAGTGATCTCATCTCGGACTCATCCGATTCGATGCAAGCCATTGTATTTTTCACTTTTCAAAAGTTTCACGCTAACACTGACGAAAGTTTCAAGTTTTCATCGCAGTTCACGCAGGCACTGGATAACCGGCGAATAACTCACGTTTACGAGACCGTTTGTTAATTAGTGATCGTACAGATTGATATAAAGCATTACGTAGAACGTACCCTGGCGTCTCAGGTATATTCTTTGCGGTTCATTTACCTAGTATCTCTTTGTTTTTTGTTGGGGTCTATCTGAGCCTAGTTCGAAAGTCAACACATAGGCTAAAATTCAAATTCGAACATGGATATTCATTGGTTGTGACGGAAGCACTCGCCGAAAGAGAGAGGAAATTTAAAAAAGGTTTTGGCGCGAAAGCTAACCGCGGTTTGAGACACTTGTATGCATTTGTTATTTGTGCGCATGATTCTTTTTCTTTTTATTGTCGCTTATTATATTTTTATTATTATTATTATTAGGTTTGTGCAGGGCAACATCTGTTGAACAAAATAAATACTGCCCAGCCTCACCTGTTCAAGGAATATGTTAGTCTGGAATACCTGAATACAGTGAGCATTTAATAATGACCTAGCGGATCGTATTTTACATGTGACATTAAGTTACAATTTGCTATTAGTTCCCATGAAATGATTTCAAAGACATTATTTCACTTGTTTTCATTAAAATAAGTAATCATGATTTGCGCAGGGAATCGCGATGACCCACCTGTCCTTCAGATGATGTGATGTGTGCTTTTCGAATGTTGCGTGAGTTATGAAACATTCTTAGATACACATAGATTAAATAAAATTTTCTTTATTATTTGGCACCATCTTTCTACTCAAATCTATAGGAGACTATAACCACCGATAGAACGTAGTAACATTAATGTTATTAGAAGCCTTTAGGTACAAATTCATATCGGTGTGCATCGTTTGGTTGTTACTTTTTTGGTCGTTTTTATATCTTTCATTGTTCTTTGTTCTATTGCAGAATTCAAGGTATTCCCGGAACAGCATTTGTTGTTCGGCGCGGTGGTTTCTCGGCTCGAGAACGCTGCGCTGGAGAACAGTGGGATTCGGTAGTGCCTGAGGTTTCTCGAGCGTTGGCGATATCTGACGACGCTCTCCAAAAACATAATGTGTATCTGTGAGTACATCAGTTGTCATCTAGCATGATGCATGATTGTTCACTTGTACACTTCTGCGTTTTTGTAGAAAGGCATATTTTTCTTTTTCTGTTAATCGTCCATAAAACGTGCATTCAGTTATTTGCTTTAACGACAATTGATTTCTACCTAGTTAACTAATGGATTTATTTAAACGATATTATTTGGGTTTAACAGGGGAAGTCCATTGTCGTGGTCTGCGGCGCCCCATCTAGAGAAAGCCTTATACGATCAATGGCTATCGACTAATATACGGCAAAGTATTCTTGCGACCCTCGATCCTCAAGATTGCATTTTCGAGGGTCTGTCCTATGAAAATCTGCCGCCAAGGTACACGTTAATTAGCTAGCTGCTAAGTGTGAGCCCAGTTTATAGAATTTTCATGTATATTAGAAACATCTTTGTACGCCAGGTGCAAGAAAAATACAAATCTCGCTGACTTACTTTGTACGTGATCTGCACATTGCGCCGCCTGTTTGCCGGCATACAATAGAGCAGGAAGAGAAAATGCAGCGGAGGAACGTTGTGCATCGAAGATAACTTGTCTATGCCCAAAGAAATAGCGACCGATGAAGCAATAGCGCATTCAAAATGAGTATTCTAGATTAATCGTTTTAGCTGTTCCATAGTTGCTCACTTGACTCATCCGTGTATTAAGGCACCTTTTTTGTCTTTCATATTTACAGCCAAATCATTGCAACAATATTTGAACAGTCATTCCCATCGGACGAATCGGCCCTGAATCAATTGGCACGCAGGTGTTTCCAAATTGATCAAATACAGGCCGGCTATCGAGGACTCCATCGTCTGCATTTCAAAGATCATCCGCTATTCCTCATCGGAAGTAAAAGTCCTTTTGCTAAAGTAAGCTAGACATATTATATATTTTTAGAAGAAACAATAGAGTCATACTAATATACGAGGGCAAATTATTTGGAATTACGAGGAAATTTATTCAGCAAAATTGTCATAGCAAATTACTATCCCTTGTTGGATGTAGATACATATCAACAGGTATCGATCAGGACAAAAATATTGTTCGTGTATTTGAATAGTCACAAGTGACTTGATCACGTTATGTTAAATCGAAGATCGCACTGGATAATTATCAAGTTAGCAGAATCTGCATGCTCTTGATAGAGACGTCATACTGACAGTTTGTACTATGTAAATCCGGTGCTATTGTTTCAAGTTGAAAAAAGGTAATCTTTGTAATAGAGTTTCAAAAGTTATCTCGGTTGAATTATTTGCAATTGAAGTTAACGATACACTGTCAGTAATATCCTAGTAACACAAGTTAAAAAAAGCTGGTTTTACGAACAACGTGTCGAACCTATCCATACAAAAAATATGTTATGTGTGACGTATCGCTGTAAAACAAGCAGGCATACTAAATGTGATAAGACGCATCTTTGCCAAATATAAATAAACTGGTTATGTTCACAAGAAGTTTACTTCGGCACTATGCTTGCCTTTATTTTGTATATGTAGTGTAGTTTATTATTTTACAGCCGAAACACTTGGTTGAATAATAACTTGTGTGTGTCTTTTGACATCAATAATAGAAGCTTTATGCCTGGGCAAATTTTCACTCAAGACGTAATCTGACAGTGAACCGAACGCACGTTTCGGACACCCGGTATATTGCGAGTTTCTATCCCAAGAAAACGCGTAGACGAAACTCTTAAAACAAACGAAATACGGGAACTTGCAACATACTTTTCAAACTAACTGAGCTATTTGTTTATAAAATACTTAAGTTATCGTAATAAGTAATTTGAAAGACGCATACATAAGCTATGTCTAAACGCATTATTTGAGGTCCTTAGTTAATAATAATAATAAAAAAAAACTAGTCAAGTTCAGTCTCTCTATAGTCGATCGATAATATTAAGTCAAATCTGTATCTCACTGATAGAGAAAAGGGGAATTAGAAAATTGTCAAAACTATTTTATTGCAGTATTGAATTTAAGTAGTTATGCGGAATATGTTAGAAGGGACTCATTATCTTAGCCTTTTAACCGCGTTCTTGACAAACGTAAACGCTATTGTTACCAAATGATGGGAGCTATAGTCATTCAACGGCGGTCTGATCGCTGCGGGCCTTACTATAAAAATCTATTCCGTGTTACAAATAAATGACAGTTGTATTCAATTAATGCGTTTCAAAAAACGTTACTAGAATTAAGTTTATATATATATATATATATTTTTTTTTTTTTTTCTTTTTTTTAGATATTCAGGCATAATATTTACCTTTATTAACTATACTTTATTACAACTTCTATAATATTTGTAAATGCTTAATCGACAAAGTGTTACAAGCAATTGACCTACCACGTAAATTATCTAGGAAGTTTTAATTTTAACAAAAAAATAAGATTTTACATCCTATAGTGTAATTCATATCCCAGCTTTCATGAAATGCAATTGCGCTTATGTATAGACACTCAGATAGAGCCGGTTACTTTGTGGATTTATATTCGCATCAGCTCGTATTGGTATAACCAATACCGGCTTAAAGGAGGTGACAGGCGTCTTTTGACAGTTAGAAAGTTTATATCTATCTAAATAAAAACAAATACTTAAACAAAACTAAATTATTTATTTATTCTATGTTCAGTAGTAACCATGCGCCAAACAATATTCATAGGTTTAAAGTTGTTAAGATGTCACGTTAATGTGCTATTAACAATAATATTCTAAGAAAATTATATTTTGAATTTATAGCAGGCCAGAAGCCTTATAAATCAAAGTTATCAAAGAGTCTGAAGGTGTAAAGAGGCTAATTGTTGATGCTCTTCTAAACAACCCAATTGATAATTTCTATTTTCCATTTTAACACAACTGTTAGTTTCAAATCGGTGTATCAAAATGACGTTTCGAGCCGTTCCTCAGTTCTTTGACTAAAACTTGTTGAGCCGCGCGAAAATTTTCTTGGACGTTTCAGAGACCGCAAAAAAACTAGCAGTACGGTAGACAATCGATCTGTATTAAAAAAAAAAAAATTGACTTTGATGAGGATTGGTTTAGTGCAAAAAGACTGGATAATAGCTAATTTTTGCCCAAATTACTAAAACCACACATTGCTTTGCACCATGACAAAGTTGTTGTTTGATTCTGAAGAGAACACGCTTTTTTCTGGTATCAAGAATAGCAAATGAACGCATGTTTGTTACAACAAATAGTCCAAAAAGTTTTGTCCCATTTAAATGGTGTATATATATATATATATATATATATATATATACATATACATATATGCACATATTGTCGTTGGCGATTTTGGTTACATTGTGTATATGCAATATAGTTTATATGTTAGAACACAGAGAGTCCGCACGAACGAGACACCCGGGTTGAGCCGGCTGACTTTGCCAAGCTGAGTGGCGGCCTCTATCGCGTGTTCCGTGAAATCTTTTCTCTTTGTAAACCTGCCCTCCTCTGTTTCCCCTTGAAAGAGATGAGCGACAACAACCAAAAGGCTTCCCTTTCCGCTCAGGCTCACTCACACACAGCGCGAATCTCCATTTTCGCCCAGCGCTCTCTCCTCTCTCCGCCGTTATCCGGTACCCCTGGACTGCGTGCTCAGGAGTAAAAGCAAACAAACACAGGCCGCACAGGGGAGCGGCGACCGTTGTATTTTCTGTTGTGGCCGCTTCGATTGCAGACACCCTCATTTTTCCATCCTAGCCTTATCAGCCGACTCCTTTTCTTCCCTGCCGTGTCATCCTATAACCACCAAAACTTAAAGTCATCCACCGCGATTAGGCAACAAACCTTCTATTTTCCTACTTCAAACACCCAGTTATACCTGGTAAAATTGTGGCTCAGAGAGAAAATCTCATAGCTTGCCACCGAATCTCATTTCTTGTGTCTTATGCATCCTGTGGTGACGCGGGTTTAAGTTGTAACTGCCTAGGACGCTGTTATCCATAGGGACTAACAGTGTTATTTCTGGCATCGTATTGTAAGAAGAATGAAAAATTGATTTCTCTTTGTCTGACAGTAGACAAAAAAAAAACTCTCGTTGAGTCAGTGGTGATCGTGAGCAGAAATTTTTGATACAGTTTCTTTGACGAAAGTCCACCACGGCCATTTCCGGCACTGTCGCACGGTGGGCTGCAGATCGATCATACGGTTTCCAGTTGCATTTGCATAAACGCACACACCACCTGTAAACAGGGGGCCTATATTCAAAAAAAAAAGGTCAATAAAGAAAACAACCAACCGACCAATTTTAAAAGGTGAGTAAAAATCTTGAGTCCGCTAAATCTAGAGACATCCACGAATTAGTCCGTGCATATCCCTCAAGTCCATTTAGAATGAACAGGTTAAAAACGTTATTCGGTTAGTTGAAATAATGCTGATAGGGGCTTTTGTTTAGATTGGATTATGATGCGAAGGCAAAACAATGCAATACCTACTTTACAGTAGCTTGTGATTAAAATTGAATGGAGCTTCCAAATCTACCACCTACATTTATAGAATTTATTAAAACTGACAATGAGTGTCAGAAGGTTTATAAATCACGTTCATAGGACTTCCTCTCGATTTCAGATTTACACACAAGTGGCAAAGCCGGCAAAATGGCCAAATCTATAGTATTAACAACGCTTTCAGTATTTATGGGCTTATTCTTTGTATTCGTCGGCTCAATGAAGATCACCCCTAACATCAACCGAGAAATGCATCGGGAAATCGTAAGTTTTTTGTGCAGTAAACACGAAGCAATCCCAAACAAATTCATTACATAAGCATATTATATATATATATAAAGACGCATACGTTTTAAAAAAATGTATCTTCTTGGGACCTTTTTTTACACATACACTTTTTGTTCTAAAGCTGTACGAGATATCAGAAATCACTTATTAAATATTGGAATCTCTATTATCAGCGAGGGGTCAACAGAACAGAGCGAACAAATCGTCTAAAATAGCGGTGTATCGGCGGCGAAACGACATTAAGTCGCTCCCGTCATTTACCGCAAGCTGGGTACGTCCGATTATTTATATATAGTATTCATTATGTGAATAATGATGCAGGTACCTGCCTATAAAAGTATTAGAATATTTATTTAGAGAAGCCATTAATATAGAATAGATAAGAGTGAATATATTAAGCGTTTTGTTATTCTTTTTCCAGAGGCGAAATTTTGTACAATACGCAAAGGTTTTCCCGTCAGCGGTATTATTCGCATTGAAGATCAGTCCGAAATGGCTTCGTCTCATTGTTGGATGGGTCGAAGTCTGCTGTGGAACTACACTCCTGCTTATTCCTGGTGAGTAGAAAGTAATCAGATTAACACAGTTATCCAAATGTAGCAAACTATAACAATAATATAATCAATCGTCTGCCAAACGAGCTCGAGTACGATAAAGAGCTTGTGAGATGGACACACGTGTACCATGACCCTCAACTGCCTTACAAAGAAATCGATTACATATATAATTACTGTTTTTTGTATCCTTTTTTTTTCTTTCATTTTACATTTACCTGATCCTACCTGTATGATCGCAAGGGGAAGCCTGGTGATTTCATGCATGTACGCGGGTGGATTTGACTCGTAGTATCACTCTAGTATTCTATTTCGCAATAGAATGCACATAACGATCGATATTAGTACAATAATAAGATATATCTTTCAATGAAAAACGGTGTTATCTCATCTTATCCCCCATCATCTTAGAGATGACTCAAGCTCTATTGCATACGATATACGATTTTATACATATATATACGTATATATAATACACTTAATATATATGCTTATCAAAATGGACGAAACCCGATAAATCGTACCTGTTAGATGTGAGCGAAAGCGGGAATTAGCTCAAGGAAATTGCTGGGTAAAAATGTAACATTACGACACAAAGCAATACAGTCAGAAACAGGGGGCTCCGTCCGTCGCGCCACATGATGCTACAACTAACGGAACGCTAGATAGAGTTTGAATCCATATTTAGCCGCGTCTAGTTCTGTCAATTAGCGTTGGCTAGTAGTACGGACGCGTATAGGAATAATAAGCTAGAAACACTGAGCTTGAATGTTGACCACTTTGATGCATAGTATTTCTAATGGCCACCATTGTTTGGTTTGGATCTTCACAAACGTTCAGGCCACGTCAAACAACTGGTCAACTTGATACTTCTCGTGCTGTGCTTGGGTGCCGTGTACACGCATGCAATGCTTAAGTAAGTGGTTGTTTTTTAAAATTGGCTTCTATGCAATTGTTGCTAGCGATAACATTGGTTCACATGGAATGGTTTTGTTAAACCGTTAAAATAACGTCAACGGCCCAACTTTAATTTACCAAGCAATGCGTTTCCGGATACACACAGATTCAATGTTGTTCGTTTTGTTAATCGATTTCACTAATTTTAGAGATCCGTTCGAGCGTATGGCTCCTGCTCTCTTCTTCACGCTTTTACTCGGATGCCGGCTTGTCGTCTTCTACCAGGTAATATCGATGCTTAAATAAAAAAGAACTTAAGAATTAATTGATTTAACCGATGATTATTACCTAAGGCCAAAATGTGTATATTTTGTTTTTTGGAAATATTTTTCATCATTCTCCTCGCCCAGACGTTTAGGCCAGTCATTTTGCCTATTTTTTTAATATAATTTTTTCGACGGAGGACAAAGTATATCTGTTAGAAACTGGGATGACTCGCGACCACTTCGATATTCGCGTTCGTCTGTGTTTATCAAATTGTCTCAGGTTCGCAAGCGTGAGCTTAAAGCTGCGGAAAAGCTGATGGAACGCCACAGGCAAGAGGATGATCTTCGTCAGAAGCAGGACGTGCTTCGACGAATGCAAGAAGGTCCATGGACGCAGGCCGGTGTACAGCCGGGGCACGGAGGCGCACAAGGACCGGGAACATCAGCAGATGGTACCGTTCCTAAAGATGTAGCTCCGAGGGACTCGAAAAAGAACAAAAAAAAGGGCAAGAAAGAAGATTAGATGACGACTATATAGCGATTACGTTCCGGTGCTAGGTAATGATTAAAATTACTTTATAAATTTTACCATGTGCATGGGGCCTACAATGCAGATACATCTGATAAGATTCTATAAGTAAGAATGGAAAACTTCATTGATCGATACGTATTATTCGCCTCTTTTTTCCCATAATATAGCAGGACGAACGTGAGTCGATATGAAGATGTTTCAAGCCTAGTGGAAAAGGCCATGATGAAATGCAATAAAATAATTATATTCGAAAAATAGAGCAGATCCCAATAGCAGAATCATGTGGAGCTGCATTGTCCTGTAATACCGCGCTCGTGCACAGGTATCAGTTCCTTATTACGGAGTGCGCAGTTTATTTTCTAAATGAAACAAAATAGATTCTTTACATGCACCAATAAAGATAAATATTCTGCAAATAATTTTCAATTAATAATTATCACCGTATATCTTTTACAAATACGTATACGTCACGTAGACAGCAAAACAACGTGATTAACTATGGCTATTTTAAGAGACAAATATAGCTGTGTACAGAAGGATGAAAAATCAACATACAGTTGAGTAGAGGTCAGCCTTTGTGTTCTTTATATGATTCCTGTTTTTATTATATATTTTGGCTGACTCTCGTAAGATAGTTTTTTAGAGTCTTATATGGAAGGTACAACGCTTATTCTGAACTAATATAGCAAGGAAAACAACATAAAAATCCTTATTTATTAAAGTGTTTCTTGATCACCCTTCATATGCCATTCTGTGAACAAAAAAAATCATTCTAAGCACATTTTATAAATAATCTGCGCGTAAACGTAAATCGTATCCATCGCACAGTGTATGCAAACCATCTAATATCCACCCAACATCTTCCTGTAGTATCAACTATATGACGTAATTACGAAGCCACCTATTCGAGTACATCGTTTTTTTGTAATAATACGAGTACATAACATGGCAATAAAAACGTATGGTGTGAAGGACCTCAAGATCATGATTTTAAAACTCATTTTACAAGTGAGATTATAATAATATCACCATTGGTGCATGAATACACACTGATTTAAAAAAAAAAGTTAAGTTCACAGTTATAAGTTAGTTAGCAGTAAACAACTGATTATATAGCACTTCATCAATGCTCTCAATTGAATAATCCGTCTTTATACAATTCTTTCGATCCCAAGTAATAGTCGAGTGCTGGTATTCTTGAAGAAATAAACGTTTTCCATACTCGTTGAGCGTTCCTCATTGAGGTCCGTTAGGTATAGTTTGTATGTGACAACCATGAGAAACAGACGAACAGTATTTTTATATGGCTTTCACTATTCTACAGAAGGTCACAACGGTCACATAGTACACTGCTTTAGCCAGATTCATAAGTAAGTCGTGTATGTTAGAATGAAGAACGAATGTATAATGGGAAAACTCTTAGCAGTGTTTTTGCTTGCTATTCACCTACCTGCCTTTCTGTTTATGGAATTTACTAGAAAAAAAAAAAAAAGAACTTCCATCAAGTTAGCTGTTCTCGTCTTTGATGACTTAAATGAAAAAAATCTCTATGATAATTTAAAATGTTTCATATTCTGTCTTCGATGGTATAGTATAGCTGTATAGTTACACTTTGAACACTCAAACAAGGTAAGCAGGCAAAAAAGAAGACTTTCCATTTTCCGCATAGAATGGCTTGTTTAGCAAATTCATATGAATGTTCTTAAAGGACTGTTTGTGACCTATACATAGATAGCCTTTGTAGCTTTGCTTGTGTCAAGTTCGCATACAGACATTAGCATTATTTCAAAAAAAAAATTCTATGGCTGCTTTTTTTCTCAGTAAATTTTAGTTCATATAATCCCAATCCTTTCCATATGTTTGCATTTATTCTGACTTTTTCACATGGGTTCTCAAGGGTATTATCGTGTATTTTTTATCTAAGAAAATTATATATATATTTTTTGTATTTTTATAGTTTTATTAAGACATATGTTTTTTGTTTTTTTCCGTATCCTACGATTTACATTCATTCTTTACATTTTTCTCAGAGGAATTTCATTCACACTTCAGAAAAGTGCACCCTTCACAATCCTGTACATGAAACATAACCATGATTCGGATGGCTAATTTCTTTAGTGAAAAATATGTTAAGCTCTATATTTTAAAAATAGCATTATAGCTATTTCTTTCAGCTTCCAGTGTTTGGGAATCAGTTGCTTTTGAAAACTTTGAGCTCTTTTGACAGTATGATCGGCCGATGTTAATTCGCCTGTTCGTTTTCTAACTATTTTAGATATTAAATAAAAACATTAATTTATCATGAATGTTGCTTAAGCTGCAATCAAATTGAACTAATTGTTAAAATGGTGGAATTGGCGTCAAATTAGCCGAGTACCAAGCAATATTAAAAAAGGGTATATTTTCATGTTACTTTGTCTTCGTCGGAGTTTTTCTATCTTTCCATTACTCTATCTCTCCGTAAACGATTTTGATCGAATTATTTCTCTGCTAACTAGAGTAGACTGTGTCTATAATGTTGACTGACTGCTGTTCACGTAGAATCATGCACAAAACGTCGCTCAGCATATGGTCGAAAAATAGGTTGTTAAGATTCCTTTCCGTAAGACAATAGTTTGCACAGCGCGGGCACTTTAAACCAATGGAAAATACACCGATTAAATACTTATTAGTAAGTTAGAACTAACCTAAGTACGTAAGGTGTCAAGGGACGTTTCTGTAGTGCGATCAAGCATGTAAATTGAGAAACGATACCTTACAAGTATATCAAGATTTTCAAATTTTGCTCGGAATATTGAAAATCTAGTTGCTTGCCTAGACGTACATCTAGACTTGCCTAATATGTACAGGCCGCGTACATATTCTAACAACGACTTACAACATGTTAAACTATATACCAGCGTAAAGTAAACCTCTAATAGTTAGTACACATATTTGGAGGTTGCATTTTTTTTTTTATAAATTAATTATGTGTTCATCATTATGCGTATTTTTAGCAGGCAAACAAATACAAACAACTATTATATGCCCTACTTAATAAAGTAAAGCTTCAGCAAAACCTATTGGGTTACGATACGACAACCCTTCTATTCGAAACAATGAGCTACGAGTTTACATGGGTTTAAATATGTGCTCCGTCGCATCTTTCAGTCAGAAAATATCCCTCCCTTCTGAAGCACCGCATCAATATTTACTTAATATCATGTTATTGTTCTTCGTTACGCAAACCGCTTGCAGCAACAGAGGCCAATAATTAAATACTGCAACTAACGATCAAATAAGGTGCCTTAGACATCAGTTGCTAAGATTTTTTTTCAATGGAATATACATCACAAAAAACAGAACTGTCCAAATCATCCTTTCTGAACGCATAAGCGTAATCTGCCAATTTTATGTGATGAACAGATATCTTTTACCGGCGGAACAAATCATTGACACCAAGGTATTCTGCAGTAATAAATAATCTTCCTAGCCGTTGAAGCCTACATCTACGATTGCTCTCCAGGTGGCACCTAATTAGACCTATCTGACATTTGACATCACGACTGCCTGTTACCCAGGACTTTTATCACAGATCTGGATTAAATAAGGGCTGGGTGTAGGGGACATTAGTCTGAGCTTTTTACGGGGACGACCTAAGGCAGGTTTAGAGTAATAGAGTATACGACTCCTGTTTTGGAAGGCAAATGCCGCACTTTAGAAAACAGCGGGCTAATTCATTCTAGAATACGACTTGCAGGATTAATGAGGTACTGGAATCCAAAGTGACACCTCGCGAAGTTGCGGTTCGCGGGTTCGTGGCAGCAAGGAAGTGTTTGTATGTAAAAATCTTCATAAGGGCTAATATAGGCGTATATATGGGTATTAAATCCAATATTATAGTAAAAGTAACATTTTTTTTTATGGAAGCGGTGAACATATATCCAAAACACAGGCCAAGGTATAATAGAGTGATACAAGATCAAACCTCGTAACAAACCTCGTAGAAAAGAAATTCATCAGTTCTCGTAACTGTAATCGTGTAGAAACATCAAAGTAACGCCTAATAGCATTGATATCAATTGGCATGAAAAGATAAGGCTGATTATGCGCATTTTGCTGAAACACTCTGTCGTATAACCTTGGTCCTTTTAAAGAATATCTGGGCAAAAGACGACAACGGGTAATTTTCAAAAGTTGCCGCTTGTATAAAAAAAACTATGCAACTCACGCATGTGTAAAATACAGCGTACATTGTAGAATAAACGATGAAACCTTCTACATTTCTTACGACTTCAACTGTGACGGTGGCGGTACCGGACGGTGCACAGTTTCCCGTGAGGATAACATTGTGTCATCTTATGCTCTAGCTTGCGATATAGCATCTATACTCTGTGATAACAACGTTATAATATAATAATAAATAATGTTTTATTATAACACATGGTCTCGTAATATAGTATCATATCACCGTGTATTCAAATTCATATCAAACTTCATATGCACAAAGGCAAGTCTCTGGAATGGTGGTCTATTCAGTCTGTGAAACGGCCCAGCTTATCCGACAAACACCATAAAAGGACCCCAGTTCGCCTTCGGGTGGTGCGCTGTGTCATTTGTAGATTTCGCCCCAGCAGTCCGATTGTGGGTTCGTTCGCCGCAAGTGACACAGCCAGCCCACGTAAGTGTCAAATTTATACCTCACACGTCGTGGGCGCCTAACGGTAAATACTAACGTTTGAATCATTTAATGTTAATCTACGCGTATAGACACCACATTGTGCATTCCTTATCCTTACAGAAACTTCAGTTAACTTATTACCTCAGAGCACGTATAAATCAAAATCATAAGCAATAGCCATTGTTCGGAATCTTCTATTAAAGGCATTTTACTTTATCGTTGGTTATCATTGCGACCATTCGGTGCTTAAACGAGTGTAATCATAGCTATGTTTCGTCGAACTTCGATAACCTTAATTGTACTCTATTTCTAACCGTCGTCATGAACTAATTAGCTGTCCAATTGGTTTTGTAACCCAAAAACATAAATATCAACTCCTGTGATAATAATACAGTTTAATTGATATATTGAATGATTTTTTTGCTATACTATAGTCGTATTTATATGAATACCTGTGATTTTATACAGCCTGTGACAGTTCTGTTTACCTAGGACTTCCATGATCATAAATAAAAAACAGAGTAAAATAGTAACTCTGATACAGATCTTTCTATCATTCCTAACTTTGTAACGGAAATTTCGGATCGATTTCTACAAATTACAAAAGTTCCACAAAATATTAATTAGTTAATTTCAGTAATATGCGTAGGGGTAGCTATTAAACGGGTTATTGATCTGTTTTTTGTTGTCACGCGCTGACGGTTTATTGTCCCGTTAATGACCATCTATTAGCAAACGCTATTTATACTAAAGATGGCGCATTTATTTACTTTATATCTTGTTCTGCGCACTTTACTATGCTAGCCCGGGTTCCGGGGGAGAGGTTGCCCCGTGTCGGGTTGACAGGCCATCCTGGAAGCATGCAAAGCAGTCGTTGGCGCAAAACTTCGTGAAGCTGCTAGTGCTGATTAAGCCAACCTGGTTATATCTCCGATTTACTTATGTGCCAGGCATTGTTTATTAGCCAGCTGGTGCAGGCTTGCTAGGAAATCGCACTCGCTAGAATTTAACAGGTCACGCAGAAAAACAAATTGTCCAGAATATAGCTGGTTCATCTGAACCTCTGTCATATAGCCTGGCAATTAACGTAATGCATAGAGCATATGGTGTGCAAATAACGCAAGGGAGCCCAAATTTCAACATTGTGCGATTCTTTGTACAAAGTAGCCATTCTTAGCTCTTCGATAGACTATGGTTTTTTTTTAACGCAATTCTACTTTTTCGAAGCACTTTATTCCTTTCTTAAATAACATAGTAACAAGAGTGTAACATTTATTGTCATAAGACAAGCATAATTTGCACACAATGATTCTCCTGTGT